CATCGCCCAGCCGACTCAAAGGGCCCATAGTCAAAGCCAAGTGAGGCAGTGAGTCAAAAATTTGATCGGTGCCAAAAATTTGGTCGATCCCCGGAGCCATGGTAGGGAAGTGCAAAGGCATGGAGGTCCGCTTTTAAGAAATGGCTGGGATTGCCCTTTGCCAACCTTCATTTTTACCCGGGTTTTGATTGTGACTCAAGTGACATTTGAGCCGTCGGAACTCCTTCGGAGCGAGCCTGGCCGAGACCGGCTGAGAGACTCTCTCGGCCGAGACCGGCTGAGAGACTCTCTCGCTCGGACCCAAATCAGATCCGAGGTGCGGTAAAGGTCTCTATGGTACATTGCTCCCAGCTGCCCCTACGGCAGCCATCCAGCAGATCATAGCAAGGTAGCTTGCTATGACCCACCTGCCGAGGGGGCCCAATGAGTTTTGTTTCAACGTTGAAAACCGCACGAAGAAAAACACACACTCCTTTAAGTGGGGGTGGGGGGGGGGTTGTCTTTTTTGGAGCTGGTGCCTTTTTGGGTGTCGCTTGAGAGGGAAACCACCTTTTCGGGGTATTTCAGGCAACCGGGCAAGAAACAAAGGGCGGTGCAACCGTTCCATCCTTCCCCTCTGGGCAAAGGTGCAAAGGTGGCAAGCCCACCACCTCCTCCCTGAGAAACCTTCCCAGGGCTGAACTGAACAGCGGAAAGAGCTTGGGAACAAGAACATGTAGGAGGCCCAAACGCAAAATTGGCAATCAGTGAGGCTTAAAAAACTTTTTTTTTTTTTTTTTTTTTTTAACACCATGGCGCAAATGGTCCTTGGCCGTTTCTCCTTTTGCGCTACGCATCGTTTGAAGTGCTTTGGGGTCAATGGCAACCGTCCTTCCTCTCAAACGGCCTGGAAAGGTTGACATCCCCGGGCTGCCCATTTTAAGTTCCTCCCTTCACCCGCCCTCTTCGCCTTTGAGAAAACAAAAACGCAAAAGAACAAACGCGCAGCGAGGGAGCGCCTCAGGCAGCGCGAAGAAGGCGGAAAGGGCCAGGAGACCATGTTGAAGGGCATTGGCACAGTGCGCCAGCGCCAAAGCCAAGACCTATGGCCAGCAAGGGCTCGCGGCTCGAATCGCGCGGTCATCGCGATGGCGCAACCTCTCCCCACCAAAAGCAATGGTCGCAGGCGGTGCGGTTCTCAAGGACCAAGGGGGACATGCCCGAAACAACCCCCCCTAATCTGAATCAACCCCCTCTGGCTTTTTGAGAAAGGAACCGCCAAATACGGCTTCGAGTTGTGTTTGATGAGATCCTCCGAACAAGAAACTTGCCCGAGAGAGACCCCACCAAAAATGGTGGATGTGCTGTTCTGGGGACACTGGCATGGCCGTCAGTGAGCGGAAGGCGACGGGAACGCCTTCCAACGCTCGCTTTGGCAATTGGGGGACACCAGCGGGGCTTCCTGGTTGGCTGTCCAAATCCCCCCCAAACAAATGAGCACAAGGGGGGCTTCCTGGTTGACTTTCCAACTAGCTCTACTAACAAATGAACAGAGCTAACAACAGTGAAAAACATGCCAGCCAACAACATGCCAACAACAGTGAACGACATCTTAAAATCCGGAAAAATAACAATAAAACAAACACACACACACACACACCAAAAAAAACAACACATGCCACACCCTTTGAAGTTGGAGTATCCCGAACACCGGCGCGGGAATTCGCCAGTTGCCTGATCCAAAGCCTCTCTCACGGAAAATTTGAGCTGATGCGTTCCGCATGCGGTAGGGCTTCGAACACAAAGGCACGCAAAAGGCTCGGCATCCCAAGGTGATTTGCCACTGCGCTGCCAGGAAGTTGGGTGCACTTGCTTGGCAACAGCGCGCCCGAGCTGGTTCTGTCTCCGGAGCTGGTTTTTCGCCAAGGAGAACGTGCACTCGGCACGGTTGTCACCGTCCAGTGTCTGCCACTGGCGAGCACTCTCCAAGAAGACACACGACTTTTTCTTCTGATCACCACACTTGGTCGCGCTTGCTCGCGGTGAGCAAGGTAACCTCATCCCCAATGTGACCGAGGTCTCTGAGTGGAAACTTAGGGAAAACCAGGTCAAAGTGGGCCTGCAAGGCCTTCTGGCAAATGGATCCAACTGGAAAGTCACCAACTTTGGTATGGTAGCAACCAGTTTTTTTCCAGCCCCCGCTAAAGATGAACAGATCCAGAAAAAAAACACCTAAACACCTAAATACATGGAACATACCCTTTGTTAGGGGGTGTCTAAACATCACACATTCTCTGCAAATGTGAGCGGCTTCGCAAGGGCATGTAGCTTGGGTCCGCCACAGGTTTCGAGAATCTTCCATTTGCTGAATCCGCCTGGAAAAAAATGATAAACTATGTCCAGTAGTGATAGGTGAACTTGAAAACCAAGGGAACACAAACCATATTATGAAGCGCAAATGGAAGGAATCAATGCTCATGGTGTCCCCCCAACATTGAAGTTTTGACCTGTCTGATCCCCTGTACTACCGGTTTTCACCCGTTGCTCGGAATAGAAGTTTAGGGTTTGGCACATGCAAAAGGCCACTTTCTACCTCTAGTCTTACCGGGGCTGTCCTCAGATTACCTGCTAAAAGTTGCTAACCTTTTGTGGCTTAAATGCAAACCCTCACGAAACCAACTAAAAAAAGGAAAAAACACTAAACACCTAAGTTGAACCGGACGATTTGCTCGGAGCCGTCAAGTTACATGATAGTTTCCCCTGGTTGCCTACTGTAACAACTGGAAGGATTAGTCTAGAAAACGGTTTGGATGTGGCTTTTGTGGAACCACCCCTGTAGGATATCAGAAGAGTACTAAAAGAGTATTAAACAAAAGAACCCACAGGGAAAGAACTGTGAAATCCACAAAAAGTGCCTCCAGCCCATTTTCTAGTCTCACGCAGGACAAGTGTGCAAGGCCTCCAATGTGCAACTGGGTCCATTGACTTGGGGGAAGCCGCGTGTAAGGCTGACACATGGCCGACGAGTCCGAATTTGAGACACCCCCATCTGGGTGCTCGATTGGCCATAGAAACTTCTTGGTAACAGTTCGGTTTCAACCCACTTGGCTGGGGCTCAAAAACATGGAGCCCAAAATGGCACCTTGGCAAATGGAAAAGACTAAAACCGGCGTAACCCCACTTTTGAATCTTGAGCCACACTTAGCAGCCCCCCTCATGCTGAGTTCACCTTCTTAGTGGCTGATCACCCAGGCTAACCACACTAACTAGGCGCATCGAACATCCAGGGAATACGGGGTATGGGGGGAAACGTCTGGTTGGTTGGACGCCCCAAAATGGCGGGGTCCAAGTCCCTTGTGCAAAACTTCTGAGCTCTCCGTTTTCAGATCCGCGAAAAGTGACGAACTTTTAGCGGGCGAAGTGGAAACTACCACTAAAAAGCTAAAAAGCTAAAAAGCTTAAAAGAAAGAAGCTAAGGAACCGGATGAATCGCTGGGAGCCACCAAGCTTTGAAACCCAAAACGAGTCGGGTACCGAGGCTCAAGAGCCTGGGCCCCCCGGCGCCCGGGGACCCACTGGAGCCCAGCAGGGACCGCACTCTCTGAGGCCCGCAGACCACCTCGGTGGCGAAAGCGCGAGATCCGAGCGAGCGCCGTTTCGGGCGAGAAGCGGCGAGCGAAGAAAACCAACCGGCCTGCCGGAGAAGAGAATCGATGCAGCGAACAAATAGGGAAACCCCCAATTTGGGCAGTTTCCTCTTGGCTTCCAGGCAAACCTTTGCCAAAAAGGGTACCAACTCAACAAAACACACCCATGGCAACGAGTCTTTTGCACCAACTGCGGCTTTCAAACCGACTCAACGATGGGCTCGCAGAGCTCTTGGGCTCCCCGGGCCAGATTTGAGGTTATTGGACCGCTGGCGATGGGCATTGCTTCACTGCAAAAATCCCCATTTAGACTAAAACCTTCCATCCAAGACACGCCTCCAAAGTTTAAGATACACCCGATACAGGACTCTTGCCGAACCTCCGGAAATGGGTCGCACCAGACGCAGAAATTACCCTAGGTACTCATCAAGGGGCTAACTCTTGTCGGGAGGCAAAACACTTCAACATGAGTAACTCTGGTTCCCAAACCGCTCTCGGATTTTGTGTTTTTCGCCCCATCCCAGCGAGGTGTCACTGGACTCCGGCCAAGCGGGCGCAAGCGGCAGCGATTTCTTTTTCCCCTGGAGGCAACTTTGCGCCGACCTTCGAGAGGCACCTCACCGATCAAGCAGCGCAACGCAAGGACAGGGCAACCAACCAACAGACACACACTTGGTAGTCGTTGGAAGGGAAGCAAACCACGATTTTTTAGCAGTTCAGTGGAGATTTGGATTTCAACCACTCAACCACAATAAGCAAAAATGCAAAATGTTTGCCAACAACCATGCACAGCTGCGAAACCCTGATTGGAATCCAGTTGCCAGCCCGACCCAGGAAAGAAAGCTTGCCCTTGTGGGGTTGACCACAAGTTTTACCACATGAAAGATAGTTCCACTAAACGTCCGGTTTCCCACTGACCAAGCGACACTTTGAGCTGGGTCGTCTTTTCCGAGGGTACCGCTTGTTTGGTTGAAAAGGAAACCAAACGGCCACCACAAATTTTGGGGGTTCCCGAAACAAATACAGACCAAACATTTGCTAGGAACCAGCTGGCGAACGGCTCCTCATGGAACCTGACTGAGGCTCCTGGAAGACTGGAAGCCTATTTTCGCCCAAAAAACGCTCTGGCGGGTTCCAGTGGAGGATTTCTCCGGTTTGGTGCAACCCCCCATAGAAACAGGGACCCAAAACCGTACCCCGGTATTTCGCTTGGCCCCTCCCCGACATAAACAGAAGTAATAAACAACCAACCAACCAACCAACAAACAAACAACCAACCAACCAACCAACCAACAAACAAACACACACACACACACAAGTGGTTTCCATGGTTTTCCTATTGGCTTCCCTTCGAAGCCGCAAAAACAAGACAGGTGCCAACCCAAGCAAAACAAGACAAGACATCATCTCTCCGAAGCGCCTGGGTCGCGCCTCGACGCGGAGCTCATCTTTGGAGCTCCTCAGTGCCCTGGGGCATGTAGATGCCATCCTCCTCTGGCCGACCCTCCAGCTTGCAGCCTGACCCGGCTGGCTCCGGGTCAAAACCCGACCCCCGAACGCTGCCCCCAGATTCCCTTGGGACCCAAACAAAAGCCGTGGGGGGTACCCCAAGCAAAAGGGTATCTGGGCGCTGGGGTTTGACCCAGCTCCAGATGAGCTGTTTTGGGCCGGAACACGGCCTTTGATGGGGGAGGGGATGAGGTTGGGAGGGTTGGATCCTACGTATGTTTGATGGTGATCTCCTTGGATCCTTGGTTTGGGGGAAACAAACAATGAGTCTAGGGCTGACTTCCCCGTTCTTTCCAGGGATCCTTTTTCTAGAAAACCACCAAAAACCCTGGGGAAATGGCTGGTTGTTGAAAAGAACGATGGCTGAAGAGAATGGGGAATCAACCCCTAGAACGAGGGTTGCGTGGTTCACCACGAAAAAAGAAGAAACAAAAGCACTTGCTCCCCATTGTCAGCGCTTGGTTTGCGAAGAGCGGCCTTTTCGTGGAGGCTTAGCATCAAGGGCTAAAAACCACGCAACTGCTGGGAAGAAGGCCCCCAACCTCCACTGATGATTTTCGCCTTGAAGGGGGAAGGGTTTAACTTCACAACCCCTGGTATGATAGCACAAAGCCGTCTCGTTGCTTGCATGCCCCTACAAAACCAAACACTTGCCAAGAATAGTGAGGGTAATGAAGTGGACTCTCCAAGTACCCAGGGAATGCACCCCCTTGATTTTGCGCAATAATCCCATGTCGGAATTTGTGAAGGTTCACATATGGAGAAGGGCGCCTGACTTCCAAACAGTCACTGGAAGCACCAGGCAAATCGCACCCCAAAACTGGGCTCTCCGTTTTCGGATCCCCTGCGAACAGTCGACCACTTTTAGCGGGTTGAATGGAACCCAAACCACCAAACCAACTAAGAATCTAGGGGTACCTTCCCCATTCTTTCCAGGGATCCTTCCTTTCAGGAAACCATCAAAACCCCAGGGGAAACAGCGATAATCAGCGATAGGTTGTTGGACAAGGAATCAACCCCTAGAAAAAAGACACCCAACCACCAACCCTACCAAAAAGCCAAACAGCTAAGCTGAATCGGACGGCCGGGAGCCACCGAGAACAGGAAGAAGCGCATGGAACTGCTGGCTGCCAGGTGACGGAGGCGATTGAAAAAGGCACCCAGCCTGAAGCAAAGATGCAAAACCACATTGACAAAATCTCCCGTGGATGGCTTTGAAGGTCTATCAATGTGGCTGAACCAAAGCCAATATTCAATAAAACTGTGTTGGCAAGTGTTCGTACATGCCCAAAGGTAGCCTTTTCTAAGGGTTGCTGTATTACACCCTGGGATGACACCCTTGGAAAAAAAAATCCCGGAAATAACATGTTTTGATCCCGGAAATATGCCTAAATGGGGGTCATTTCCCAGTGGGCGTAATCCCAGGGCGGAATACAAAACCCCTTAGATAAAGCACGGGATGTAAGATACATTGATACTGTGGATGGACAAAACCCTGCACCTCTTGGAAACCATGATGAAATGATTGTTTGTTGGTGTATACACGATTTTACAGGGGAATCATCATTCCATGGTTTCTTAGGTGGTGCATAATTTCGTCCATCCACAGTATTGATGCAACTAATTGACCCTTGGTAATTGACATTCATACGTGTTTCTAGTCTTGTTTTTCTCAAAAACATGCTCCCAGCATACTTTCGCTTTCAGTACATGTTCGGACAGCTGGAAATCATTCGTACCGTCTACAACCGGTGCAGGTGGTTCCCTCTGCGATTGAACCCTCAACCTCCACTGCCACATGATGTGTGATACAACAAACCATGTGGATATGCAATGGCAAGGTAGACTTGATTATTGTCTGTTGATAAACAGAGCATGGTAAATGATGTCAATAAACCATGTGCCATATGGACATGCAAGTGCAAGCGACCCAAGGGATGAACAATTGAAACTCCAAGTCTAAGCCGACACGGATCGAAGTGCAAATTTGCTTTTTGGGGGGGGGAGCCTCACAAAAGCAACATACTGCTTCTCAAGTTGTCTTGCAACTCCCTGCCCGAAACACCTCAACATTTTAATGTTAACACTTGATTAATCAACTGGTGCTGAATAATGTCAAGTTTTTTTCCTTATTCTGGTTCGCACCCATTGTTTAGGGGGACCAGAATAATTGAAAGTTTTTTGCCCGGGGGGAAAATTCCAAAAAAATCTCCACAAATCAATTTTAGTTTAAAAAAATCCTCCCCCCCCCCCAAACAATCACCCAAAATCCATGTTGACCCCATACCAAATGCAAACAAATTCACCACAGAACCCAAAGCCAGCTGAAACTCTGAAATTTGAAAACCATCCCCAGCCCTGAAACTGCAAACTCTTTATTAAACCGTGCTAAAAATTGCCAAAAAACAATCAGGACAAGGGTACCCCTCACAGACCCCACTGAACCACAATAATGTGATTGTTTTAGGGGACCACAATAGTGGCAAGCCCCCAGCCCCCCCTCCCAGAAAATAAACTATCACTTGCTTTGCTCAAAAGCATTCCCCTTTCAATCGGTGGCCCACTTGCTTAAAAGCATCCCCTTTCAATTGGTGGCCCACTTGCTTAACCCTTTCAATTGGTTGCTCAACCACAGAACCCAAAGCCAAACCCCCAGTGGTAAGTCTGCTCAGGAAGAAGTGGTTGCAATACTAAAGTAGAATTGCAAAAAGGAAGTGGCTGCAATACTAAAGTAGAATTGCAAAAAAGAAGTGGCTGCAATACTAAAGGAAGTGGCTGCAAGACTAAAGTAGAATTGCAAAAAGGAAGTGGCTGCAATACTAAAGTAGAATTGCAAAAAGGAAGTGGCTGCAATACTAAAGTAGAATTGGGCCCCAAAATCCTCCATTGTTTGGACGTCCCAACAGTGCACCCCCATTGTTTTGGCGCCTCCATTGTTCAGGGGGGAGGGGGGGGGGGGGGCCCGTTATTAATCAAGTGCTAACATTACCGTGCGCCAAACACAAGTCGACCAAAAAGCTGGGTGGGTGTCTGAGGTGTCCGACACCAGCAAGTCAGTTTTTCTTGTTTTTTAAACGTTTCGCCGCCTTGCTTGGCGTTTTTCCCGGCCTCACGTAGAGTTGGTATCCCAGGGAGGGACGCCAGGGCTGGCCCTCTGCGAAGGGAAAGCTCTTGCCAATGGCGAACAAAGGCCCGAAGAAACCCCCGAGGCCACCGGTGTTGCCCACGGAGCGGTCCATGACGTAGCCAATGGTGAACCTTCCGCCGGCTTCTTTTTTTTTTTAAGGCAAGTTGACGTGCACTTCTGGGCTGTCCAAATTGATCCCCGGCTTAATGCTTTAACTTGTGGGTTCAATCTGGAAACCCCCACCACACCAACTAAAATCCACCCAAGAACCCGAACCGGGTGCAAGGTTTTCGCCGGTTCCGCACCGCCCAGCTTTTCAAGGAGATCACCTTTTGGGAGCTCCACAAGTAGCAGCCAGGAGCAACAAATGGGTCCAAGAGGCTCGAACGGGCGAGACGCTTGGTGAATAGAAAGGAAAAACGGCTCGCGTCTTTGGTGGGCGGTGTGTGGCCCAAAAGGGGGGGGCCTAGACCTCGACGGCCCGTGTTTTATGCTGCTTGGTCCGTTCGACCCAATCACTCGCTTCCCCATTGGAACCCGGTGGTCTGGAGGTCAGGGGTGGTTTCCGAATTCCCCCTCCACAAGAACCAGGGGTTCAAATCCAAATCCAAACCACCAGCATTATTTGAGGGGAGAATGAACTCACAAGAGCTTCAACGGACCCCGGCAGGCTTGAAACATGAAATCTGTGGTTTTTCTGTAACTAGGGCGTGACTAGTCAAATAGTGGGGCCAGTCAAAGCCCCTTTCTGCGCCCTGTTTGAAACAAAGGGCGTTTCTAAATCAACATTTTGTTGGCCCACTTGGATGACGGCCCCACTTCGTAAGCGGCTACCCAGTCAAATATGTCCCCTAGGCGGGATTTACTCTACATTGTACCTGGGACCTATTGACCGATGTGGCCATGGGTCAAAAGCCCGTACCCCCAGTGAACATCCCAATCCCCCACCAAAATAGACTAAAGTGGGTGGTGCACCTACCCCAAAATGGTACCATTGGTTTTGACCCACAGCCATATGCAGCAGCAGTTGGGGTGGTCATCCAAGTTTTTGAGGTGCAAACCCTGAGAACAGCGGGCCATTGAGAAGCCCCATGAACATCTCGAAATAACGACCCCAGGGGTCAGACCAAAGACCAGCCATGAATATTTTGTGGCAGTTCCATTTTCACGCGAAAACCGTCCCCTCCCCCCCCAAAAAAAAAACAAAAACAAAAACAAAAAACAACAACAACAACAAAACAAAAGGTACTCTTAAACCCACTGGGGTCAAGAATAGCTATAATAAGTACCCAAAATGGGGGGGCCCTGGTAAATGGAAACATGGACGATTTAACCTAGTTTAAGTTCGACCCATACCCATTTAGACTGGGGATATATGAACCACTTCAAAACCATGGGCAACCATTTTTGGTTGACATTTACCAGGGAATCGTATCATTCCATGGCTTCTTGGGTGGTGCGCAAATGATTTCGCAACCCTCCACAGCATGAAGAAACATATTTCAGCAATTGAAGCTTCACCCTCCAAACAAGTACCCTTAAACCCACCACTTAAAGGAAATCAATGGACTAAAACCTGTAGTTCTGGCTTAATTTTGATCCATACCCATTTAGACTGGGGATATCTGGCAAGGGGTCAAACACATGAACCAACTTGGCACCTTGGTACATGGAGCCAAAGACTCAACCCTGCGCAACCCTGGGGTTCTGACAAAAATGAGCCACACCCAAACATGCACCACTGAAAGGGCCAAACGTGTCGAGTCTCGCACGGAGAAAAAGCAAAAAACAAAAAAGCGACCCGTGTCAAACAAAAGAAGAAAAAAACGACGGGTTGTGTCAAAAAAAGAAAAAAAGAAAACAAACAAGAACAAAAAACACAAATACATTTGTCGATCAAAGGCCGGGCGCTGATCCACGAGGCCCTGCTCAGTGAAGCGCACGCTGCAGGCCTGGGGCGCATTGACGTACCTCGCTCGAGCGTTCGTTTCCGCGGAACCGGCGGGCTCGGTGCGCCCTTTGGTCGTGTCACCCGTCCCCAAAAGGCGCCGTTTTGGTTTCCTTGTCTCCGGGCAGTCCGGATTTTTCTGAGATTTTCCTTGCGTCCATTGAACTGCACATGCCCAGGAAGTCCAAAGACTATGTGAAGAACGGTTTTTCTACACTAGACCATTCTTTGCCGCGATCACGCGCGTCACGCAAATCACGCCCGGACTCAGATCCTGGCCAGGTCATCAGGAGTGAGGGGGAATGTGTGTTGAACGACTATGCCTGTGTACGTGTCACAGAGAGGTCTGCAGAAATTTAAGGTCCATGCGTTTTGCGCACGCGGATACAACAAGGGTAGACTGGCTGGCCCTGCTGGAGCAGATAGCGCTCAGACAATATGTGTGGAAAGAAACATGAAATGCTGCGGCAAAAACGACGACTCTACAATCTGCCGTAGCATTCTGACGCCGAAAACACATAATATGTTAGCACGCACGCCCACGCACACTCACATTCACAAGCCTCTAGCAGACCGTGCGCTTGCCTCCCTTCATTTTACTCTCTTTGCAGGCTCCACCGCATGGATGCCCAAGCGAGATAGAACTCACACTAGCGGTGTCACGAGCCACGCCGCCCTGTCAAATGCTGATACATGCTATGTTGCACGCAATATCACAGCAAGTTGAACATAACAAACGCTCTGTCGCTACGCTGTTTAAAGCCCAGGCCTGCAGCCTAAACGCGATTGCAACGACATCTTGCAACTCTGTGGAACTCATTGGCGCTGTCGTTTTTTTGTGGGCAATTTCTTGCCTTGTTTCCCTTCTTGGCTAAGCTTCCATTCATTGCTTTACTGAGACATCGTAGCAACAGCCAAGCTAATTACAGGCCGTGGCATGCACCTATGTGGTTCATTGCCGGCTGCGCCACGAGCGCTACTTGCAAAGCCCTACAAAGTTCAACGCCAAATCCGGCCATTTTCTTGGCCGATGGTAGTGGGCAGGAGCAAATGACAAACACAACGGTAAGCACAAAACCACTCTGTCAATGTTGTTGCTGATGTGGTTGCAGCAGCGTGCGACTTGCGGCAGTAGATCCTTGGCACGCACATCATGGCAGCTTGTTTCTGAGTATAGTATATTTGTTTTGCGGATCGCAGACACTTGCCTCATGCGCGCTTGATCGTTGACTACCGGCCTAGGCTCTAAAAATGCCAAGGCTCAGCAACCCTAAGCCAACATGTTCGGAACAATTTCGCAAAAACAGCACGGCATCCAGCGCACAGAATCGAGATTTCGGCGGGGGTGGCAAACCACGGTCTTACCACGGCAAAGTTCGGTCTTACCACGGTAAAGTTTGGTCTTACCACGCTTCCGTCACGGGTGCATCACGCCCCACGTTTTCCAAATTTCCCAGGCAAGTGCTCCATAGCAACTCAGTTGTCCGCGAATAATCGCCCTGCTGTGGGAAGACGTGTTTTTGAGGGCAAGATTCTTGGCAGCGCCACATACGTTCGCTTTTCGATACACGGTCCTAATTTTGGTTTATGTCACAGTAACACAGGTGCTCATGGATGTTGTCAAGCGTGCGTGGTCCTGCAGTGCATAAGACTACAGTTGTCGCCGGTGTGCCTTTGACGTCGCGCGTGTCACAAGATACAAAAGGGCAACCGCAACCGCATTTAAAATACTGGTTGGAGCCATGGCGGATGGAAGCGCAACGGAGACACTTACATGTTGAAATGCTAGGAAGGATCGACACACAGTTCTACTGAGTGTAGCGGAATGGCACCTGAGCGGAAGGCGAACAGACATAACACATCGTAGTGGCTCGCACACATACTCCTACATATTGCTTATGGGCTTGATATGTAGTACGGCTTCCTACGCTCTGCAAGCTGTGAGCCTGGGTTCAGCATAACTGGCCTGAACAATCGAGAAGCACAAAGCAGAACAGCTGACCTTATAGGAGCGCACGAAATGCGCTTCAGGAGTGCAGGTTGGTATGTAGCCCCTTTTCTGGCCATGGGTGTTTTTTCCTGGCTTCTTTTGGCCGGGTTGCGATGCTGCTGTTTGGTTGCGCGTGTTTAGTTGTTTCTCGGGTACGAATGGAAAGTGCGTTGCCATAGCTCATCTTCATGCTGTTGAAGCCTTCCCCTTCTATACCATTTGACCATGTGACATGCACAAGTTGCTTTCAGCCGTTCAGCCGTTTGTGTGTGCGCTTTCGGGAGGAGCTGACGGTGTTCTTTATGAAATCTGAAAGGAAGCGAGCCAGCAAGCAGGGCAGCGCAAAACGCCAACGCATGTCGAGCAAGTGGACGAGATCTAGCGCCATCGGCGTGGCAACAACCAAACATATATACTTATACTCAAATATGTTGCTGCGGAAACATTCAGCGGAGCCAACGTCCTAAAAAATGACCAATCATATTGCTGATACGGTTGGAAGAAATAGCGCAAGTCAAAGTTCGGTCTTCCAAGCCAAACTTCGGTCTTTGAACAAAGACTTAACTTTGTTTAGTCTAAGACTTCCTGGGCATGTGTTTATAGGGTACCCAGGCTCCACAGGTGGTATGCACAACAGCGCCGCAACGTCTGCGAACCTCCCGAGCCCCATCGCAGAGAGTGCAGGCATCATGAAACTACAAGAAAGGGCAAACAAAGCCACACCTTTTACGCCTTCTTTCTTAGAGCCACAAAGAAAGGGGCACTGCCCCCCCCTCCCACCCCCCCACCCCGCACTGCCCCCCCCACCCCCCCACCCCGCACTCCCCACCACCGCCCCTCCCGCGTGTCCCGCCGGATCTTCGTGGGCTCGCCCATGAGCAGCGCGGTGTCTGTGCCCGGCGCCGCCTTCCCCGTGTGCTGCCCCGTGCCGCGGCAGGTGTACCACCTGGCACGCGTGAAGATGAAAATGGGTGGTTGTCCCATTGCTATGGTTTTTCTTTAAGACACCAAGCAAAAACTTCCATTTGGTTGAGACCCCTGGAAAACATATTTCCAGTAGTGATAAATTCCTTTTAAACCCAACAAGGGACAATAACAATCTTCTTCAGCAAATGGAAGAAAAGGGGTCTCAAAAAAGAAGGACCAGCCACCCACAGATTTTTGATCATGGCTGGCACTGGAGGTCTGGACTGGATGCTGATGCTTGAAACACGACATATATGTACGTAATTGGCCAAGGTGGTATTGATGGTTGAAATATTGAGATGGTTCTTGATAATGCACCAAACTATTTGTAACTTGTAGTATTCATAGCAATGAAAATAATGAGCATATAAACACAATTGCACACATCCCCTTTGGGCGTTCTTTGGGCGTTCTTCGGGCACAGCTCAAGCTTTTTGGCAGTGGCAGTTTATGGCGCAGCTCTGAAATTGAGTGGTTGGGACCAACTTCACACATGGCTGCTGGACATGGACCTGGTCAATGATAAGAACGGGCTCCCAATGGCTCCCAATTAAAATTCCCAAGTCGCTCCTCGTTGGGATTGATTCAGTTGATCCCATGTCTCGTGAAGCCACCAAGCCAAAAGGGAACAAGGAGTGCCACCACATGCCACCACCTATAAAAGCTGGTGGGTAGAAGGTAATTAGTCGAAACCCGACCAAAAAAGGCACTCATGTTCACACACAAAAAGGAGACAACTCTCAAAGGCACTGGTCAAAAGCCTAGGTACGGTGTACTCTTAGAACTGGATGGATGTCCCTGCTGAACCGAACCGAACCATTCCCTTAAACATGCGTTATTGCGTTGCCCAAACTTGTGGAGTTGGTGAAATCCAAGTTATCCATGGGCAGCTTGAGGGCTCAGGCATCCAACAGCTATGGCTCACCTAAAGTTTCAGATTGTGCCCCAGAAACCGACCTTAGGTCGCACACCCAGCTGCATGAACACCAACCTGCCAGTATCCAGGTTGAACAAGGAACGGAAACCTGCTTCTGTCGGTATTTACGTTGGGAAACCGAATCCTTCCGTTGGGTTTCTCATTTTGCCGCTGCGACTTCTCCTCGAAGATTTCGCGTCACCATCCACCATATGGCTGGTCTCTCATTTCGCCGGTGCGACTGTTCGGAAGTTTTTCCGCGTCGCCATCCAACACCAGGTCCAAACCAGATTTGAGAGGTTACAATAAGGGTACCCGATGTTTTTTCTGCGGTGCATTTTAGTAGGGGAACCCTCCCCCCCAAAAAAAGCTGGGAGAGAAGGGCACCTAGCTGGGGGCCTAGAACATCTGCGATCCATCGTTTTTCAGGTCAGAAGCACCGCCTTTGTGGCACCCCCCAGCACGCGCCGCTTTCAGCGCCGCCTTGGAACCGAGGCGCACCCTGCAGGGCTCGAAGGGGTCCACCCGGAAGTGGTGCAGTTGGGCGGTGGCGTCTGGGAAGGCCGCGTAGAACTCGATGCCTTTCCTCCGCGATTTTTGCGGCATTTGGCCTCAAAAATATGAGAAATGTGGGGGGGGGGTCATGTTTTTTTTCACAAGGAACCCTTCCTTTGATTTTGCGTTTGCGATTTTCGGGTGGGGGGGATTTTCGCATGTGAGTCATAATCAAAACCCGGTAGTAAAATGGTCGATCCCCAGAACCATGTAAAGAAATAAGAAGGCGCAAAGCCGCAGCTATTTATGGTTGGGATTGTCCCTTACTAACCTTCATCTACCCAGGTTTTGACAAAATGCGGCCTTAACAATATGAGAAGCAATGGGGGATTCTCAAGGGTGGGGAATGGTTGAAATTTTGGGGTGGTTGGGGGTTGTGTTGGAACATGGGGTTGTTTTGGCCTTCAAGATATGAGAAGGCATATATGGGTGTAGCTCAAAATTAAAGAGCTAGGTTTACGCGGTTTTCGTCTTTGTTTCCATGTACCATTGTTCCATTTTGGGTATATACCCATTTTTGACCCACTGCCATATGAGAAGCAACGGGGGGGGGGAAGGCCTACAAGGAACCCTTCCTTTGATTTTGCGTTTGTGTCCGCTTTTTGCGATGTTGGGAATTTTAAGACTCAGTGGAGTCAATTTTGTCAATGGACCGAATTTGGGCGGAGTTTCGAACTTCAGCGCCTCAGTTGGTCAAGGGACCCCCAGACCCAGAAATGGGGGGGGATGCATGGCTTGCCCCCTTCGATGTTGCCATTTGTTCCATGTTGGAATTCGGGGATAAGACTCGGTTAAAAAACAACGGCCTGGGGGGGGGGTCAACAACTAGTCTGGCTTGCCGTGGTTGGAATGGATGAACAACCTGTGGTTTTTGGTTTTTGCTCAGATCCGGTCGATTCGCCCTGGGAAAGTGAGGATTTTGGCTGGGTCACTTCCAACAATCCTCGGGGAATGGGTTATATTATCGGTTTCAGCTGCTGCGTATTTCCTCTGGTTCTGCTGGTTGGGCGTCGAGTTGGAACGACTCCCGGTTTTAACCCTTGTCTACTTGTATGCCCCACCCCTCACTGCGACTATCATTCCATATTTCAATGACATATGGGGGCGATTTTTGGGGGAACGCGTGTCTGGGTATCCAGAACTGCTCGTAGTTCCTGACCAAGCCGTCGCTCCAATTGCTTCGACCAAGGGTCACGTTCACCATGAACTCCTCCTTGTTGAGAGGCCCAATCACCTTGGCCAGCTTCCGATTTTTACTAGAACGCAGGGCTATCCATAAGATCAGGGCCTGTGGCGCAATGGCAGCGCGCTCTGGTGAGGCATTAGGGAGGTTGTGGGTTCAAGTCCCATCAGAGTTTGTTCATGATTCACCAACATCTCTCACCTCTCGTTGTCTAATAGTTTGTGCTTCTTGAACCATCCAGAAAGGGAACCCCTAAAACCCACACATCCTCCACAAAGTAAACATTTGTCCAGCGATCGACACCTGTTAAACCAACAGAAAACAAATAAAATCTGGACCCTGAATTCCAGCGTAATTTTGGTCACTGCCATCCCAAACTGTGGTTGGTAGACTCCAACCATTGCTTTATGGGTAGTTCTTTCGGGTCGAATGTTCTGAAGCAACTCGACGAAGCCAACCACCGGCTTCTCCCGCGTCCACTTTCCGGCCACGGCACAGGCCCTAGAAACGTGAAGTTCTCCGCCAGCATGGAACCGTCCCCCGGCGTCGGCGCGTCTGGGCTCTCCGTGGCCAAGAAGTACCTCGGCATCTAGGTGTTGATTCCTTTTCCATTCTGTTCAACCATCGTTATTTTCAAAAACCGGATCTGTTCCCCAGAGTTTCTGATGGTTTCCTGAAAAGAAGGATCGCTGGAAAGAATGGGGAAGGTACCCCTAGAAGGCACCGGAAAAGACCGGCAGCGAGGTCGAGCTCCAAGCTTGGTTGACGTTGGGTTTGGGGAGCAAATATTTTTCATTTTTAGCAGTTAAGTGGATCTGGATTCACAATAAGCAAACATGTAAAATGTTTCAGGGTCTGGGTAGAATTTGAGGCTCCTTTCTCCGTTGATGTCAAAGGAAAACCCTAGCCCTTGCAACAACAAGGACAAACGGATGCCACTGGGCAACTAAAAACAAACCAACAACAAAAAAACGCCGCCCCGAAGGGAACGTCGCATCTTTTTTGTGATACTGCGGATGGACAAAATCCATTTCACTGCCCCTTTCAGAAAATCCATTCCCCTTCTGGGCGATTCCGCCTTCATTTTCCACGTACAGTTCCCCCCACCGAATCAATCCGGAGAGTGTGGATTTCAGTGAACTTCATGTTTGAGCAAAGTATATAAGCTCACCTGGGGGTACAAATGCAATACATCATAGAGATTCCTTACTCGGCGATTCCTTCGCAGTTTGTGCCCGTAGTCTAACCGTAGTTCGCCAATGAAATATCAAGACTTCCATTTTGGTTGAGAAGATGTTCAATTTCCCGTATTAGCGTTTAAAAAGGCAATCGACTTCACTGGACACATTCTCGCATGCTTGCCAAATGAAAAACTAAATGGAGGTAGAGGTAAACAAAATTGTACTCACACTGGCCACTGGAGCTATTGGGAAGCTGGCCGCTTCCCTCTGCGCCTTCCCCCAAACACCCTTCCGCGTTGGCTCTTCTGTCCACCGACGCATCGCTTGGAAAGTTCTAAGCTTAAACCCAAACACACAACTCGTTTTGGCAAGCTTGGCGAACCAGGTGGAATCGCACCACGAACTCAAACCATGGTTGAATCCATTGTGGCTTGGACTCGTATCATTTCAGGGTTTCTAAAACCGGTGGGTCGTTGTGCACCGACACGCATCCCCGAGAGCGTCGATCCAGACAGACAGGCAGGCAGGCAGACAGAGACAGAAAGAGAGAAACAGAGAGACACAGACAGGCAAAGACAAAGAAACAAACCAAATGACATCTTTGAGGGTATAGCAGCCCCTTTGCCTCGCTTACATCACACCAAAAGGAAACTGACCGAGTCCCAACCACTGGAACTTTGACCAACGCGTGGTGTTACTTCTCCGGGTGAAATGTTGACTGGATGAAAGCATCGGGGGGATCCCTATCGCAAATAGTTGGACCCGACGTTGCATCTCGCAAAAGGGATCAGCGATACATACACTCTTAGACTTTCCAACCCTTGGTATGGTAGCAAAACACCGGTCTTTTGCAGACCCCTACTCAAAATGAACAGAACCAAAACACAACAAACCAACAAACACATGATCCAACAACAGTGAAGTCATACGCGTGTCCAACAACTTCGATTTGCTTAAACCATCCTGGAAAAAAAGTTCAGTGGTGATAGATTCCCTTAAAACTACAAGGAATATCTTGAGGAAATGGAAGAGAACAAGGCATTCTAGACCGGACCCTGGCCAGATCATGCCGGGGCACTTCGCCAGCACTAGGAGCTCCTCCGGCGCGATGGGGAACCTGAACCAACGCGCTGGGTGTCTTTGGCTCAAAAACTCGGTGGCAAAATCTGCGAAGCCCTGCTAAGCGTGACTCACTTTTAGTGGTTTAATACGGAAAACCCAAATTCGTTGACAAAAAGTTAGTTAGTCCTAACAGCCCTTGGCAAAATGCAAAGAAAGACCAAAACCTGCGTAACCCCAGCCCTGAAATTTTAAGCCACACCCATTTGGACAAACGAACCTTGGCGGGGATACGGAGGGAGCGGGGAGATTCTGAGATGGGGGAAATTCCCGCGCCATGTCCCAGATCAAACCGAATTCCAAGGTGCATCAAACCGGGGAATCAAACCGTATCAAACTGGTTCCCCCTGTATCCCTAGTTGGTTTCCATGATCTATGGCCTCCGTCCCGAGTGGATGGCGCAAGAGTCGGACTTTGTTGTCAAGGTCTGCCAGATTTGAGAGGATAGAAGAAGAGTGCCCACTTTTTTCGGTAGTCTATTTTAGTCGGGGAACCCTCCCAACCAAAAAAGGGGAGAGAAGGGCACTGGGGGACCTAGTGACGCCCAGAATGGTGCAAACCCAAAGAAGTGATTCAACTTAGGAAGTGAGAGGCTCCATGTCTTCCTGACTGCAACATATGTTTGAATGCTGCAAGCCGCCGAGAATGTAGAAGAAGGAAAGGCAGTTCCAGAGTTCCAATTTAAGTTGAGCCCCGTGTTCTTGGACAACCCTTCCGTTACGGAAGGTGACGGAAAAAGCTCGGGCAGCAGGAGACCCTAGGATCAGCTTTTGGGAGCCTTCTGAGCAAATGCGGAAGGGCCCACCTCAATGAGAGCTGTCCCTCTGATTGGTTGGGAGGTGGCTTCCCATATGTGGCTCAAAATTAAACAGGGGCAAACCGCAGGTTTTGGTCCATGCTTCCACTTACCAGGGCAAGCCATTTTGGAATTCCGGTTTTTTGAGCCACAGCCATATTCCTACAATGAGGGGTTCAAACCTTCAAGGGGTACCTGATGCCAAACTCTCCACGCTTCCCCTATTTGCTCACTTTCAGCTCCCAAGACAGGCGACGCTTGGTTTCACCCAACTTCCCTTCCGTCGGAACAAAGGACAACCCACCAAACATTCCAAAGGTCGATTTTGTTTGCAAGAAGACAAAAGTACAAATACCAAACCCAAACAAAACAAAACCAAAACCCTCACAAAGAAGAACCACGACTAGCTCCTCCAGTAGAGAGGTTAGAATAAGGGTTCTTTTTCTCTCTTTTTTTCTGCAGTAGGGGCACCCTCCCCCAAAAAAGAAACGGTAAAAGGGCACTACTGGGGGACCTAGACAAGCAAACATCATTTCCAGGCTCCATGCTTTCTCCTCGCATCCCAGGCGCGCGTTTTCGCGGATCAACGCCTCCTCGTTGGCCACGTGGCGCCGTAGGAACTCCGCCACTCGGGGCTCCGACGACAGATCCGCCCGCCGCGGATCTCCGGCGCTCCGCGCGGCTGCGGCGCGCCGCGGGGTTTGGGGCGGAAGGCGAGGAGCGAAGGCCAGGGAGGAGAGCCTCGAAGTCTCGGATTCAAGTCGTGCTCAAAGGGAGCCTAGATAGCCAAGTTGACTTGTGGTTTTCTGCTAGTGGTTTAACTTGTGGCGAAATTTGTGGAAACCCAACCCTCATGGAATGCGAGAAGTGGACCGCGGGGAACCACCTAGATAGCCAAGTTGCGATCGCCTTTTTCAGCCGTTGCGATCGGTTTTTGGGGAAAGGTTCATGGAAGAAAGCCATTACTGGCGATTTCAGGTGGCTCTTAACAAGCCCTGACATGGGGAAATGGCACTGAGGGGTTCAAGACCTTTCTCGTCCACAAAGGGTGTGAACCTTAACAGACCCAAGCTTTGGACATGAACATTTCACGTCCTCAAGGGGTGCGACTGCTTAGCAGACCCTTTGGATGGTAGAGATAAGACTCAACGCCAGTTGCGAGGGGGGTTCTTGATTGGGGTCGACAATATAGTTTGCTTTGGCACCCTGGTGCGAAGCGGATACAAAGGGGGCCTAGGCTTGCCAACCGTAACCGTGGCACAAAAGCCCTGTCTGGGAGCAGGTTCGGAAAGGGTCTTTCCATGCCAAAAACGAGGTCTCCCCATTTGCCCATGGGACAGCAGCTTTTCGAAATTCACGTGCAACCTGACGGGTGGCAAGATCAACTCAGAGTGAGAACCTTGTGGGTGAAGGGAAGGGTTAACTGAACTTCTTCAAAGGGAGCTACGGATCTCGTTTGCGGGAAAAACTGAAGGGTGAAACACGAGCGCATCCCTACCCCGAGGGGGTGGATTTGGGGGGGGGGTTCGGGACCCAAGATTCAAGTGTCCATGTCAAACCTTCTAGTTGCTCCAGATTTGAGAGGTTAGAATCTTAGGGTACCAACGATTTTTTGCTGTTTTGTCTATTCCACAAAAAAAGAAACGGTAAAAGGGCACTGGGGGGCCTAGTCCATTTGCTTTTTCGCCCAAATGGAAGACACCGCCTGCCCCCCTTCCGACCGAGAAGCAGCCAGAGCGGAGCCCAAGCTTTACGCATGGCTTCTCAGTTGTTCAGTGACCCTGGACAAAAAAGGGACCCCTTTTTGGGGCTTGGACCATTTTAGTTGGGGCAGCCACCCAAAAAACGAGGGGAAAAAAGAATTGGAGCCAGTGAACTGAGGCTTGGGCAAGACAGGTCGGGGTTCGAGAGGCTGGGAACAGGTTTCCTGGTGGAAAAGGCCGAGGCTTCAGGTGGCCGTTTCAACTTCAGGAGCCCAAGGAACACGCCTGGGACTGGGTCTGTCAGGCCGCGAAGAACACACGCCATGCTCGCAGGAAGAAGAAGAACAGACGACCAAAAAAAAACCCGCGGGTCACATTTGACCCTTTAAGCGGCGCAAGCTGGGTCCTGATAAATTTGCCTAAATAGTTAGCACGGGTTTGTACGGTACTTTGACCATGCGTTGTTCAGTCATGAATAAAAGGGAGAATGGTGTTTTTAAACATTTAGCCCCTTGTCTTCATCAATCAACCCGAAATAACCCCAAAAAGGACATCAATAAGACTGAGGATCCAACCCAATATTTGAAGAGACACCTCAGCTTTTGCCCCGACTACAAACATTACTCGTAGGCTATGGTTAGATGTGGGTCAAAAATAGGTACTCACAATGCAACCTGGTAAATGGACACATGGACTAAAACCTGCGGTCCCCTGGTGGTTTTATTTGACCCATACCCAGATCATGCCAAAAGAGACCCCAGCAGTTTTTGGCCAAGTCTATTGGAGAGTGGCAGTGTCAGCCCTTGGATTTGGCTCAAGTTGCCGACACTTGGGCCAAAAGGCCAGGAATTCGAGCGCGCAGGCTGGTCCCACTGACTTGGGTTCTTGAGGTCCGTGTCAAAAGGAAGCTAACGGCAACCAACTATTTTGGGACTGACAATGGCTTGACTTCAGCTTCTATCTCAAAAAACATCCAAAACCGCGAAGTGCCGGCGGAAACAAAGCCACGCCCATATCCTAAACGAATCGTCCCATCTGCGGCCAAGAGTGCAGGGCACGAATGTGCAACCACTTTGTCGTTTCAACATAGGAGCCGCAGGTCAATGTTATTGTCTCCCCAAGTGACATTGGAGCTTGGTGAGAAGAACCCAACTTTCTAAGACCCAATATTTGTTTCCTGCCGCAGGCGTCGGTAGGTGTCGACCCTTGCTCAGATTCCTTTGGTTGCCATAGACATGAACAACTCGTCTCCTGGCTTCGGAGAATCAGCAAACTTCCTACCGCTCTTGACCATGCAGCTCGGCCCTTTCTGATCCTGTGTAATCAGGAAATCTAAAAAAATGCTAAAGGGCCTTCTAACAACTATTGCTTAAGCCCATTGGAAACAAATACACACACTATTTTCAGTGGTGATACAATTGAAACCAAAAGGGGGAAACACGTCTTTTTCGGCAAATGGAAGGAAGTCAATGGAGAAGACTAGGTCTTTCCAGTCATTACGGCCATGTGGGCCAGCTGTTACTTTAGACATGATTTAGTGTTGCTTTGGGGCTGGAAAGCCTTAGTTCGCCTGATGTCTGGTCGAAAGCACCATTTGCAGTTTTTCCCTCTTCAGTTCGGGGAATGGGGGTGGGTGTGGGTTAAAAATAGTCTTTTAACATAGGATTCGGGCAAATGGAAACAAGGACTAAAACCTGCGGTCTCCTGGTGGGTTAAGTTTGACCCATATCCAAAAAATGTTTGGCAAACGTGTTCGGCTACCCCGCACTTCATAATTGCGGTCCGACATTTACCCCCACAGAGAGGGAAGCCATCTCGACTTGTGCACATTCCAACGCGCAATATCCACTCTTGCGACATGACTGAACGCCCTCAAAGGCATAAGAAGGAGAATGTGCCTTGAGTCTGCCAACATATCAACCTCAAAATCTTGGCCTCCCGCTGTTGCGAACATCATAGAAGCCAGGTGCAGGAAATGCTACAATTTGCTTGTGCACGAAATCGCCAAATGCGCATGAACTACTCCAGTTTTTGCTTCTTGCAGAATCTCCATGTAGCCGGCTTCTTAGAAAATACCCGTCCGCAGGAACACAAGGAACGTGGGTTTCAAACATATCATATATCACACGCCTCTGCACATGCCGTAAGTACGCATGTATTAATCATCTATATGTGATGCAATGTAATGCAATGTGATGTAATGTAAATGACATTGTAATGACATGCAATGACATGTAATGTAATATAATGTGATGTAGCTGTACTGTAATGCAATGTAAATGTCACGTAGTGTAATGCATGTTGTAACATATGCACTTACACCCACATCTGCAAAACATATATATATATATATACGTATATATATATATATATACCACCTCCCCCAATTTCCCGAACCCCCCCCGGCCCCTTCCCCTTCCCCAGCGTTCCGTTGCGTGGCGTCCGGGTTTCCGGGCCAGCGCGCCCTCCGCGTGTCCGAGGAAGCCTTTCAGCAGCTCCGCCAGTGGCGCGGAGGCGAAGGCGGCCCTGGGGTCCCCGTCCTCGAGGACTTCGACGGACGAGCCGGCGGGTCTTCGGCGGATCGAGGCGGCGTGTAAGGGGCGGCGTCGATTTTTGTTCTCGTTTTTGTGTGTTTTTGTTTTCCGGGTTTCGAGTGGTTTTGGTACAAAGGGGTGGGGTTGGGGGTCCGCTTGGTTCTTTTGGTCCAGTCTTCGCGGCAGTTGGGTTTGTCTCAAAATGAGGGGGGGAGGCCATTTTGGGATGCGTGTTCCTTTGGTTTCCCTTTGATCCAAGCCCCAAGAGTTGGTTTCTTCAAAACGTATCAACATGGGCTCGTTTCCAAAAATGGAGTCCATGAATGGGTGATTTTGGGTGTCTGCTTTTTGGGGTGGTACGCTTTAACAACAACACCATTGGGGGTATTTTGAAACAAACCCCTTTGGTTTCCCTTAAATTTGAGGAGTGGGGATTCCTCAACTTCTGCGAAACCAGCATATTTTGGATTCTGATCCATACTTACCTCAACATGTGTCTCGAAGCGGATCTAAGAATGAGGCTGTTCTTTCTTTGGTGTGCTGAAAGGGAAGCAAGTGAAAGATACGCTTTGAAGTGGAAAACGCGCATGGGCATGAGCTTTTTCTGGGAGTTCTTTGGTGGACATACTGTTGAGGGGGTTCCTAGTAAAATCCATTGCATGGGTTTCCCTGGAAGCAATTGAGAAATGGGTGTGTGCTTCTTGTGAGGGTACCCTTTTCAGTTTGGTTAAAGGTGCACAAAAGGGACATCATGAATGCAAAACACAATTTTACTAAAACGCCCTCAACTACTAAATAAGTGGGGTGGGGGTGGTTCTAGAAAATCACTGGACATCTTTGATACAGTGGGCTAACCCTATTACTTTTTCACTTGCACAGGGAGTCCCTTACAAAAAACAAGTCCCGTAGTGACATCGATTCCAACCGGGGAGCATAAACCAGATCTTCTGAAACTCACAGTTCTAGTCGAGTGGATTGGCCAATAAACCCAACAAAAGAACACACAAACACTCAAACACATCATTTCAGCTAAACCCAACAGGGGAACAAACAAAAACTCAAACACATCATTTCAGCTAAACCCAACAGCGGAACAACCCCCCAAAAAAAAAACATGTCAGCAACTGGAAGAACAGGGTGGACTTTTCCTTTGGTCCAGAGCTCAGGCTCCTCCGGGCGAAGCTCAATGGCCATGGCGCGTGGCGCGTTTCGCTCGCTGGCGCGAGGAGAATTCTCCCCGGGAACCGCCGGGAGCCTCGAAGGCCAGAGCTCGCGGGTTAGATCTCTCGCGGTTTTCCGAAGAGACTCGAGGTTGAGATGAGCAAAAGCTTCATTTCGAATACTGTGTCTTGAATGTTCAAGCCCGGTGAGAATCGAATGTTCAAGCCCGGGAATCGAGGTAGAGTTGAGGAACAACGTGGTTGAGAAGGAGTCTGAAATCTGGGCCGATGCGGGTGAAGCAAAGGGTGTTGGCTCTTTTGCGGTTCAAGGCTCCCGGCGAGTGGGCGCAACCCGTTCGGACATGGAATCTCAGAAAAGCAAAGTGCTGGCCGTCTGAAGTGCGCCTGACGGCATGTTCACCATACCCTTTGGTTCTTGGCCAAGTGGAGTTGCCAATGATACTATTTTCAATACGATACTAATTGTTCTTCATGTGTACACATGATTGTTTTTTGTTGATACCATGTTTCTCTTGGCCAAATGGAGTTGCACAAGCGGCTTGATGGGTAGCTCTGGATGGGTGGCTGATCCGCATTGACTCGTCCAAACAGGGCGCGGTAAGCTCGCTGAGTTGCGCGGGGAGAGCGCGGTAAGCTCTTCGCGATGCATGCGATGGATCCCTGAAGCTCAGCTTAAAGCGAGACATTGACTTCGGTGTCTCCTCGGCTCAAGGGTCCCTTAGAACCTTGACAGAACTCTGGGTGTCCCTTTTTTAAGGTTGGACCCCTGGTAAAATCATTTCCCTGATGGATGTTTTCCGGCTGCGTCCGTTTTTGAGGTTGCACCCCCGAATAAAACACATCACGGATTGATTTCTTCTAGGTGTCCCTTTTAACTCGACCAACCAAGAAGATTCCAACAGCGTCTGCACTTGCGATTCACCAAACGTTGAGGAACTGGCTTTCATCAGCTCATGCTGCAAATGGCCCCCGGCTCCAATGCTCCAACCAAAGCCTCGACCAGCACCGTGGTGGTTCCACTGAGCAACGGTCAATCCGTGGAGTCGCCAAACAAATAGAACATGAAACAAGGTAGACACGGCATAAAAGCCTTTCCACAGGCAGTCAATGAAAAAAGAGCAGCCAAAGAGGGGATCAAAGCTGGGTGTCCAAGCATTGCTTGGAGCCCCCCAATAATTGGTCCTGGCGTCCCACACAAAAACCAACAAAGGGGAAACAACACCTCCGAAGCGAGTCACCGATTCGACGGAACCCATGGGGAACGAAAAGGCTGTTTCAAGTCGATTCGCTTTGGGCAAGTGAGATGTTGGTGGTGTCCATTCAACAAGTTTAGAGGAAGTCTCCAATTGGCGTGCACCGACCTTTGAGCGCACGTTCAAAATGGTTGGTCCCTCCCTGTCCCGTTCAAATGGTTAGCCCCTCCCCGTCCCGCTTTGCCCACACCCAACTGCAAAAGGCGGGTTTTCCCGGTTGGTCCCAAAAAACACTACTGAGGCTGCAAAAAAGTGACAGACGTCACGTGTTTGCGCTCGCCGCTCGCCTCCTTTGGAGGACCCGTGCCAAATGGCGTGCCTGTGGGGTTTTTACCCCTTTGTTGTGGATTTTGGGCGCTCCAATCGCCCCCGCCTCTGAGACCCTGAAAAATGCTCAGGGGGGTCCCTTCTTGCAAAAAGGAATCAGGCAAGACCTCCCCATTATTGAGAGCACAGCTCACTGGCCACCAAACGCGGCTGGCACCAGTCAAGGTCTCTGAGGAAAAAAATCGACGAGGTAAAGTCCGAAGTGGACCGGCAATTGGGGGTTGTTTTCCCTCCATCAAGCGACGGTTTCCGTCTGAAATGGCTGTGGCTCAAAAAACCGGTACCCAAATGGAACCCTGGCAGTGGAAACATGGACCAAAACCTGCGGTTTGCCCCAGCTGTTTACGTTTGAGCCACAGCCAAATGGGACACCTGCTCATCAAAAGCTGCCAGGGGTTCTTGATCCTGGGTCCCATGCAACGGGCAGAGTTGGAAACAGGTGCGCCACACCCGGAACTGGAACCGCGCCTGCCAAGATGGATAAGATAAATCCACGGAGGAGGAGAGCAAGACGTTTGTGAATCGGAAAGTCGCAAGACAAGACAGAGTCCCCGGAGGTTTCCTGCATTTCCCCCGTAAACATCACCTTCCCAAGAGAAAGGACAACCGCAATTGGTCCAATAAGTGATGCTTAAACTCGCCTTCAAGGGAAAAAAACCTGCACATCATCTCCAATGTGGGTGTGATTCTTTCTTGGGGCCCATTGTTTGTTTGGTGTCTGCGGGGGAATCAAACCATTCCTGAATTTCTCAGGCGGTGCAGCATTTCGTCCATCCCCATGTCCACCAACTTGGGAGGTGGGTCCCCATCGAACTTGTCCACTCTCCACTCCAATGCCGCCTTTCCCTGAGGGAGACACACGCGCGGGCCGGTGGCCTCTACCGCCTCACTGGCGGCAGCCTGGAAGCTCGTCTGCTGCGGGCTGTGGGGGGAGAAGGGGCTCAGTTCCAGCTCTCTTGCCCAGGTCAGTTTCCGTTGATTTGGTGACTCCATTGGTCGTGTGGGAGGTAGGGGGAAACTATCCCATTTATACTCAACAATCAACAAGAACCAGAAGTTCAATCCCCAAACCACCAATCCAAACCACCAAGAGCAGGGTCTCCCATATCAGAACCCAGCCACGGTGCAGATTAACGTTTGGGATGCCATTCTGACAGCCTGAAAACCATTGCAGGATGGGTTTCTTTACAGACAAAAAAACGCTGCAGGAGTCCTCACTTCCGGTGTGGATTGGGCCTTCCAAGAAGAACGAATGGCCCGAACACGGTGATCCTGTTAGAGAACTGGCAAACTATTTAACTATTTAGGGTTGACCATCCTAAGTGGGCACCTACCACGGCAAAAACAAGCATGCAGGGTGACTAAGCAGCGTACCTGCTCGATCAAAGATTTTCCGCCTTCCAAGTACTCTAACCTTCACTGAGGTTTGATGCGCTTGACGGCGGCTGAGATAGCCCCCCGGCCCTCCAGACCTCCTTTTTTTCACCTCGGTCATTTCCCCTTAGGACACGACAGGCCCCTCAAAATGACATGCGTTGTCCAGGGCTTCCCTTACAAACGCCACCAACAAGGATCCCAAAGTCTGCGCACACAGCCCTCCGCCGTTGGCCTCCTAACCCTACGTATTCTTTACCAGTGGGAGTGTGACGCAGTACGTGGAGCTCCAAACCTTTCGGTTGCCATTTAAGCCACCCCCAGGAAGGATAGCGCACGATATATATATATATATTATATATATATATATATATATATATATATACATATAGTATATATTCATATATAATATATATATATATATATATTATATTGGCCCGCCCCCCCCCCCCCCCCCCCCCCCCGCAAGACTGATCTTTTTTTGGAAGCACGAAGCTGCGACACCAATGCTTTATGATACGGTCTATCTACTTGCTCTCTTGTCGCCACTTCAAAAGGGGCATGAACTTAGAAACGGACATCTTGGGGCTTGCAAACCCATACAACACCGCGCGAGCGTGCAAGATGGGGATGATGATGATGATGATGATGATGATGATGATGATGATGATGATGATGATGATGATGATGATGATGATGATGATGATGATCGTTGCCCTGCAAGCCTTGATCTGCCTGACACCTCATCACCTCAGGAACTCTGTAGCGCCCTTGTCCCTCTTGTAGAGAGGACCATTGGGGTCGTTCACCTTTTCCTCGGTCTACCTGCGCTTGCGTGCTCTTGGTAGCGCGCCTGCAAGCCACCAAAATTTTGAAAGTCGATTTGCCCAGCGCGAGCGGCGATGATGTTGGATCGCAGGACCTTGGCGCTATCAAATTCAGACAGTATGTGCGGGTGATCATGAAGTTCGGGCGCTGGAAGAAGGCGCGGCAATGGACGAAGTTCGCACGGGTCGAACTTTTGCATGGCTCGCTGTTGGCCATTTCACCGGCCCTGTAGCAGCTCACCAAGTCATCCAGCCGTCCAGCGGCTCATCCGTCCGAAGAGTTGGTCAACGCTGCCCTTGCCGTGCTGCTCCCCCATTAAATGCAATGTGACCTGACACACGGCCAAGCAGAAGCAAAGCGCTAGACAGCGGAACCTACGACTCCGGCGAGGAAAAGTTACAGCGAAAGAAGCGAAGGCCGAGTTGCGTTGAGCTTCCATTCCTTCGGCAAGTTGTGCAAGAAGAACGCGTAGCCTTGTCTGCTTCGAAAGTGTGGGCTGCAGTTGAACACATGGTGGAGCTGCTTCACCCAGGACCACAGGTAGCTTGGATTCGCGCTCACAGTCTTCAGCACTTCAAAAAAAGGACATCTGCGAGTCGTGGTCCAAGACTTCGCAAAGCAAGACAAAGTTTCGCCAGCCTGAGGCATGGGCTGCGCAGCCGAAGACGGTCAAGCTCAATATGTTCTGAGCATGCCATTCGTCGCCCGTCTCTTCTTTCGACATCGGAAAGCGCACGTGCCCTTAAAATCGAAATGGAGAAGCTCCTCGCTGTCAGGTAGGCTGAGGGGTGGTGTCACCAAGTTGGGCTGATGGCTGCTGCAGCTGCTGCGCGGGTCTGCTGGTGCTTCCAGTGTTGGGGCCGCTTGCGTGGAAGCAGAGACGCCTCCAGTAGGCTGAGGGGCGGTGCCACAATTCTGCCTGGCACGCTCTGGATTTGGCGTGCAAGCCGGGCATTCCTTGCTCATCATGTCACTGCTGCCCACCTCGAATTGTCCAGGCAAAGGGTTCGGGGTGCCAGAGATAAGCCTCCAACAGCTCAGTGACCGGAGAGCTTGCGAATGCTGCGCTTGATCAAACAGGCCCTGGGCGCCAGCTTCCGCTTCAGTCAGCATGCGGCAGTGGCCGCAAACGGAAAATGAACGGCGTTCCATATGATATGGAGAGGAGCCTCTGGGACAACTTCTTGGCCACGACAAGTTCCTTGCGTCCATCCTTTCTCACAACCACAAGTTTCGAACACTCGTTCAAGCACCTCTGAAGCACGTGGCCTAAGTACTGCACCAGCTTCTCGTCAAGGGCTTTGCTTTTTCGGCCAACAGAATTTGCCGGGCGGGCGGCAGCTTGCGCCCGAGGGTACAGAGCATTGGCCAAGCAACTCCAGAAGCGACTGTGGCAGTGTCCAGCTCGCGCACGCTGACCTGGCCCAGATGCAGCTAGTTTGGCCCGCGCGCTTGATCCAAAGCTCTCCCAACAATCGAAGCAACCGTTCACCTTGCTGCTGCGTATGAGGAAGGTGACAGCTTCGTCGAGACACGCGCACTTGTCCATGACTGTGTCTGCCAAAGAGTGTGCCAGCTCCATCCTGCACTTGGCGGTGAAGTCCTCCCATGTCTTCTGGGATGCTTTTGCGTTTGCTACAGCTTCGGCCGTCTTTGGGCCAACACTACGGGGCCAAAGGCAGTGTGCGAACGGCTCTGGGAGACAAAATGAGCTTGGAGCCTACGCGGGCGCCTACGAGGGGCCTACGCAGGCCTACGCGGGACTGGTTGCGCTTTGCGTCTTGTTACGGGCAAGGGACCGAGACAGAAACAGTTTATGAAACCTAAACTACATTCGCGTGCAAAATGAGACAGACTGTTAGTCAACGGACTGCGCATTGCGCTGTTCAAGCTGCGAAGGTCTTTGTTTTGAAGCGTTCAAAACACAAGCCAAACATCGTCGAGCTGTAGAAACTGAAATAAGGAACGAGGTCATGATGCAACTGACCGACCTACAGCTGTCTTGGGTGCGCAAGACTGTCTCTTGGTTGGAAGAAGACTGCTCCAAAAAGGGATCTTTCTTCCGATCGCTTGTGCAGATTTGAACCGTTCGACGACGATGGTTGGCTTGGGTCCCCGCGGTTTTAAACACAGCCTGTTTAAAGCATACAGACGTTGAGCTTGGTGGAAGCGCCTTACAAGGGGAGTTAGACCAGCCGAAAGTTGACTATGCCAAAAAGGGTTCCTTTTTTTGCAGATTTGAACAGTTCGACGACGATGGTCGGCTTGGGCCCCCATGGAAAACTCAGCCTTGTTTCGCCAGTCTTGTGTGCCCTTTTTAGGGACAGTGCCCGCTGCCCCTAAAAAGTTCTCCCAAGCTTGCAAAGCAGGAGAAATCAACCGGACCTGTCTGAAAATCAAACCGCAGTTCCTTTTGGCTTCCCCTCCAAAGCACTCGGAAAGCCATACACTCAGAGAAAAACAAAAGGACCGCCTAGGAGCGGGCGAAGGCGGGGCGGCGCCTGGGATACCGAAGGTCCCATTGCATTGGCGGAGGCACGGCTTCATCTGATCATGGGGGGGGGGGTCAGCAAAGGTACAATATATACATATATATATATGTATATATATGTACATATTCGCGTCTAAGTGTGTCGTTTCTTCGGGGGGGCACCCCCAATGCTGTCGGTGCTACGCTCAAAAAAGGTCGCAAAGAACCGCACGTGTGTGACGAAATCGAGCTCGCGGCTGTCTCCGATGAACGCCTGAACAAGATGAGCGGAACTCCTCGATTCTTGAGTGGATGGCCCCAAAAAAGGAACTACTCTTGACCCCATATGAATCAACCCCTATTTACTAACATGGCGTGTTTTGGTTTTAGTGGGGGATTCAAATCACTCTTGGAAAGGAACAACCCCCATGTGAACAAACAGGGGTTGATTTGTCTGGGGTCAACCTTCAGCTTGTGCTTACCGCTAAACTGCTCCGAGCCGCAAGTCCCGGAACCCAGGGAGTGAGGAACCTGAGGAACCTGAGGGTTGGATTTTCTTGTGATGGATGCGCGGATTGATTTGCCGCAGCCAAACTACGAGGCTTCGGCTGAAGGAGACGGTCCTAGCCTTGTAACCTGCGCATCCAGGTGGAATCTGAATGAGGGGGCCAAGGTACTCAAATATAGCCGACATGGGCCCTCTGGGTAAGTGTCCGAGTCCCCAAAAAAGTCCGAAATCCCAAACCCAAAACCTCCTTGGAACTGGGCACCTGCCTTGTGGTCACAAAGTGTGGCTAATGGAAGAGAGGGTAGAAGAGAGGGAACTTCATCTGTGCTTGAGAACGTGTCCAAGCGCGGGGTTAGATTTTCAGCTCCAGCTTCGTTTCTGATCTTGAGAACATGTGGCTTCACATCTCCTTCCGATTGGTGGTGTGGATTGGTGGTTTGGTGGTTGAGGAGGCCGTTAATCATATCATTCCAGGGTTTGTTAGGTACAGGGTTTTGTCCATCCCCAGTAGCTCCTGTGGAAGGGTACCTGGAAGATCAGTTTCCTCTTGAAGGAACTTCCCTGTGAGGTGCTAGTGGTGGGAGGGTAGCCTGCCGAAAACCGAGTTCCATGCATGAGCTCAGGAGGGATCGAAAAAATGCCTCGCGTTCAAAAGGCTGATACATCTGGGTGTTTCTCCAAATTAGAGGTCCCCAAACCTGGACGATGTCTTTGTTAATGTTGTCCCCGGATTAATCAACCCTGGTTGATTAATAGGGGGGGGTGTCCCCTTTTAGTGGGGATTCAGACCACTGAGGGAGCAGCCCCTATGTTGAGAAACTTTTCGCATGAAGGGATTCGCCAAATCACAACTCTTTTCCATTGAACAACCCATGGGGGCTGGGGGGGAGGGGGGAGGGAGCCCAAATAAGCCCTTGTTAAGCTTAATAAGGCCTTATTTAGGGCTTATTTGGGCTACCTCCCCCTCCCCCTCCCTTCCCCCAGCCCCCATGAACAACCCTCCACAAGCCTCCCCCAAGTTAGAGCGCGCATTTTCGCCGGTTTTGCCAGAGGCACATCCTCCATTCTCCAACATTCTCGCGGCATCGCTTTCCTGCTTTCCGCCGCGAGCCGCGCACGAGCCGCGCACCGTCTCAGTAGGGGCTGTACATCGGTGCCTAAGTTTCGAGCAAACTCAGGTGGATACAAACCTTGCTGGTTCTCAGCAGGGAATGAGGGAATGACCCCTATACACCATCCCCTATGGCTTCATTTAAGGGAGTCCTAGCTTCATGCCCAAAACGCTGGGTACTAGCAAGTCAGAGGCGGTGGTCCCTTTCTACTTGGATTTAAAGGCATTTCCAGGTATGGCCTTGAAGGTGTAGGCTGATACACCACACTAAACTTGTAACTCAGTAATTACATGCCCCTTATGCAAGAGAGTACGCAACCTTACCTCCAAAACCGAAAATGCTTTCCTAAGCTTGATTTTCCTTTCTGAAAAAAATCTGCACTGCCCAGCGAACCCAGAATCACCCCCCGTAGGGTGAGCTACCCTAGCGATCAGCCCTACACCAAAGAGGGGATCCTTCGGCCGGGTGGGGCGTGATTTGACACCAACTCATCGCTTTTCTCAAACAAATTGGTCCCTGTACTGTGGTTGCGGAATCCATTTCGCACCAGATTGAAGCCATGGGAAGCCATAAGATATGTTGGTATTTACGTTCGGGAATCAAATCATTCCAGGGCGTCTGAACAGTGGTCCACTTCGTCCATCCACAGCAGGACCAACCCGCCGCAGCCGACACAATTATGCGGTCCCGGGCATGGGTATGTCCAAAAACATACTCCTAAGTTGGATGGCTTTCTTTGGCTGCTTCCTTTGAAGGACCCGAGCAGGGCCTTCGAATGCTGCTGGATTCATCCAGCTGCCGTTTTTTTTTTCCCCCCTATATAATATATATATATATATATTTCCGGTCGAAGCCAATGGCACCCCCCCTTCTCGAAGGTGTAGAGTCAGTGTAGAGTCCAACGGGAGCTTTGGGATAGCTCAGCGGTCCGGGGGGGGGGTTCCGGGGGTCGCAACAGGGGCCATAGCGTGGGTGCGTTAAAGCAGCCCTGACTACAGAGAGAGAGAGAGAGAGAGAGAAAGAAAGAAAGAAAGAAAGAAAGAAAGAAAGAAAGAAAGAAAGAAAGAAAGAAAGAAAGAAAGAAAGAAACAGAAAGAAACAAAAAGAGAACGAAAGAAAGAAAGAAAGAAAGAAAGAAAGAAAGAAAGAAAGAAAGACAGAAAGAAAGACAGAAATAAAGACATAAAGAAAGAAAGAAAGAAAGAAAGAAACAAAGAAGGAAAGAAAGAAAGAAAGAAAGAAAGAAAGAAAGAAAGAAAGAAAGAAAGAAAGAAAGAAAGAAAGAAAGAAGGAAGGAAGGAAAGAAAGAAAGAAAGAAAGAAAGAAAGAAAGAAAGAAAGAAAGAAAGAAAGAAAGAAAGAAAGAAAGAAAGACATAAACAAGGAAAGAAAGAAAGAAAGAAATAACCAAAGAAAGAAAACTTAGGTTTGTAAAACAAAAAACACAGGCAAACACACACACACTTGAAACAAACACACTAAGACTACGTACCAGCAAGCAAGCAAGCAAACAAAGAAACAAACCGCCACAAGACACCAAATCCAAACTTCAACAAACCACAAGACAACCCCAAAAACAAAAAAGAACCAGTTGCGACACCTAGTGTTCGGAGACTTCACCCAAAGTGGCAAACCACAAGACCCCCCACAAAACAAACAAGAAACAGTTGCGACACCTAGTTTTCGGAGACTTCTCCAAAGTGGCAAACCACAAGACCCCCCACAAAACAAAAAAGAAACAGTTGCGACACCTAGTTTTCGGAGACTTCTCCAAAGTGGCAAACCACAAGACTTCTCACAAAACAAAAAAAGAAACAGTTGCGACACCTAGTTTTCGGAGACTTCTCCAAAGTGGCAAACCACAAGAAAGCCCCAAAACAAGCAAAAATAAGTTGCGACACCTAGTTTTCGGAGACTTTCCCAAAGTGGCAAGCCAACCCCCAAAACAGGAGAAGCAGTTGCGACACCTAGTTTTCGGAGACTTCCCCAAAGTGGCAAACCCACAAGAAAGCCCCAAAACAAGCGAAAATAAGTTGCGACACCTAGCTTTCGGAGACTTCCCCAAAGTGGCAAACCACAAGAACCCCCCCCAAAAAAAACAACAACAGAAGAAGAAAAGCAACACAACAAGAAACAACAACAGTCGCCGCACGCTTCTTCCTTCCTCCGGAGTCGGCTCCCAGGTCTCCGTCGCTCCCTCCGCTCCCGTCTCCGCTCCCGTCACCTCTCCCCGCCCGAGGCGCCCGGGAGGGCAGCGCCTTGGCGTAGCCGGAGCCCTTCCTCGGCGGAAAAAATCTGCGAGCCCCGCGAGAAGAAGGTTGACAGGTAGGAACCTTTCTGTAATAGCGGTTCATCTCTGAAATTGATGGTGTACGAGAGAACCTAACCAAGAGATGCAGTAATAACATAGTTGACAGGTGGGAAGTTGCACGCCCCTATGTGCTTGTTGTCAGAAAACCACCCTTTGCGGATGGTCCATTTGGAGCTTGGACCATTTTAGTGGGGCCACCAAAAAAAAGGGGAAAAAGAATTGGAGCCACTGAACAACTGAGTCAAAGGGAGCCCAGAGAGCCAAGTTGACTTGTGGTTTGCTAAAAGTGGTGAAACTTGTGGCGAAATGTGTGGAAACCCAACCCTCATGAAAAGCGAATACCCCTTAAAACTCCAAGCCCTAAGTTGATCTTTTACAGACATATAGCCCATGTTACCCCAACAAGTTGAGAAAAGTGGTGTTTTTAAGAGGTAAGAAAGTGAATACCTAGATAGCCAAGTTGATTTTTTTTCAGTCACTGTTGCGATCGGTTTTTGGGGGTAAGGCTCATGGAAAAAAGCGATCGCAACTGGCGATCCAGGTAACTTTTAGCGGCTTGATGCGGAAAGCATCCATTGGTTGGCAAACAATCCATGAGTTGGAAAACATCCAACTAGTGGTTAACCATTAGTTGGCAACAAGTTCAAGTCCTAACATCCCTTGGCAAAATGCCACAAAGCCTCGCCATGAGCTCCACGGACCCCGCGGAGGCCCGGCCCCCGGTGAAGTCCACGGTGAACTGCACCGTGTCACCTGAAGCGGAAGGCGCTGGTTGAACATTTGGAGATCGCAGGTAAATGGTTCTCCCCCCCAAGCTTGCAATGCTCTAACCCTGCAAACTGGTCTTTGTTACCCTGCAAACTGGTCTTTGTTGCCCTCCAAACTGGTCTTTGTTACCCTCCAAACTTGTCATCCTCCAAACTTGTCTTTGGTACCCTCCGGACTTGTCTGCATGACCCTCCACACTTTCTGGGAAGGGTTGCAAAACAGGGTTTGAAGGGGTTTGGAAACAACAGCGTTGCCTTTCTTCGACGGTTCCTTTGTTTTTCCTAGATGCGCTTGCGGTTCAGAAGGCACCTTTTTCACGGGGGCCAAGGGGGCCGGGTGGCTCCTAAATCCGCCGAAGCGGCGCCAAAGAAGGTCCGCCGGGGTGGATTTTTGGTAGGTACCCATGTGGGTCAAACGTGCGAGTGGGTTTGTCTGTGCTTTTTTGAGCATGCATACCCTCAGGTTGGCTGAAAGGGGAAACTCTCATACCGTGTGGTTGGAAACCAAAAGGACAAACAAGCAATTTAAGGGACTCCAAGATTGGAGGAAAAGGAAACCGTCATTTGAGGGGTTTTGCAGCAAGGAAACGCCAATGCACACGCCGCATCCCCGCGCAGCGAGCTTTCGAATCCTTTTTCGAGCCGGTCCAGAAGCTCCTGCTTGCGGCCGCTCACCTGTCGAGCGAGCGAAATCGGCCCGATTTCGATTCGGGCCGGACTTCGGGACCCAAAAAGGTTCAAGGAGAGTCGCATCCTTGCCATATTTGACATGATTTTCGAGGGAGTTTAGACATGAGAATGCATATTTCTTGGGAGCCGGCGAGACCCTTCTGCCAAACACATGTGACTAACTTTTTGTGGGTCCAATGGAGCATTCTCTGTTTCTCAAAAGTTAAAGTCCAAAGATCCGGCACCAACTAGCCATACACACGTTGGGCTCTCTCTTTTTTTTGCGGCGACGGGTCTCCTTGTGACAAGTTCTGAAAGGCCCAAGTTCGACCCTCACTTTACCACCAAAAAGAGAGAAGCGCCGCGTGGGTTCAAGTTGGACTTACCGTGACTTACCCAACAGTCAACAGTTGAAATGGGCACCTGCACCCGGAAGAAATACCCATAAAAAGGGGAATTCACCAACCATAAAGTTGGGGCAGTAACCACTTTGTGAGGGAAATGGGTGGGTCCAGGTTTGATTTTTAACTGGGAGCCCGCTGGTGGACATTACCATTTCGGCGAATAAGTGGTCCACCAACCATTTGGGAAGGAAAAACAAAAGGTGATAGCCAAATCAAGAAGAGTAAGCATTGGTGACATGTCAGAAAATCAAAAGAGAGAGATGACCCCTACTCTGATGGTACGTAGCTTGCCATTGCAAGCCTACTAACCCCAGTTTGAGGTATAACCTTTGCTATAACCTACATTACCTCTATGCTGAATTCTTTCTTGTCACATCCAAATCGAAACTTTGACCCCCAAACGAGAACCACATCACCTGCGCTGCCACCTCAACCGACCCACCTCGGGCCCAGTCCAACCCCTATTTCTTTGGCATTGGCAGCCCTACTTTTGTGACATTGGCCTTTGGAGTCCATTTTGGGTTGTTAATGGTTGTTACATTAAGTTACGCCTGCTATTGCAACCTCTTAAGTGGCCGTGGGAGCCGCATATTTCTCTGCTAGCTAAGTGAATTACAATTTCTTGATAGGGTCCTCGGTCCCTTTTGTGTCTGCGCAATGCACTTGCTGAAAGTCTTGTGTAAACAGAGCCTTCATTCTAGCAAATTGTAGAATTGTCCTCTGCAATTTGCGCAGGTGGCACGAACAACAAGCAATTTGGTGCTTGTTTTTTTCCGTTCCAATTTTCACACAGATCAAAGAACGACGTGAGCGTAGACAAACCGTAGAAAAACCGTAGAAACACATGATTTTGGCATAGAACCACTATTTTTTGATGACAGAAATGCTCAGAAGAGGGTTCACCTTCACGCGTTACACAGCCATGGTACGAGCCTTGCAAATTGCGAAACACATTGCTGCATATGTATATACAAATTCGGCTTTGGGATCCTATGAGGCGGCCTTACCGTCAAGTCTTTCCTAGCTCTTGTTCCAGTCCAAAATAGAGGCCGCCGCTCGTCGTCAAAACATAGTCTTTCTAAAAAAACAAAACAAAAGAAGAAAAAACGGGGTTATCACAGCGTCAGGTTGTCACACCGTCTACCTGTTTTTTAAATAGGCTCTCGGAAGCCCAGGGCCCAGATTTTCTCCGCCCCTCCCGCGTCCGCTTCGAGACGCCCCTGTGGGGCTTGTCGGATCGGATTTTCGCACCTTGAGGCCCTGGGTGCGGAGCATCTCCTTGAGCTCCGCCATGGTCAGCTTGGCCAAGTCCCCCTCCTGCCCCGATGGCTCGCTCCCGTCCGGCTTCCTTTTCGGGGGCCGGGAGCTGGGAGCTGGGAGGGCTCGAACGGTCCAGTGGAGAGATTAGAAGAAGTTGGTACCAAGCTGTTTTCCTTTTTGGTCTCTTTTAGGGACCCCTCCCCCAAAAAAAGGGGAGAGAAGGGCACTGGGGAAAAAAAAAAGAGGCTCGCTCCCTTTTTTCGCGGGAGCTGGCAGAACTTTTTAAGGTATGTCCAACCGCTTTTGTGTTTTTTTCCCCTATAACGCTGCCTGGAATCGGCAAAGATGGGACGCTGGCAACAAACAAGACTTGAAACCACCTCAAAGTGGTCAGAAACCTGTTTGTTCTTTTTGAAACGAGGCTCGTCCATTTGCTTTTTTGGCGAGGATTTGTTGGGGACTGGTTCAATTGGAAATGGAACACCCTGAAGTTGCTTGGTTCCCTGGCTCGAATCAAAACCAAAAGGGGGTCCCCCCAAGAAAAACACGTCTATGTCGCAAATATCCCCTTAAAACATCACCCCTACCCAGAAAACATCACCTTGAATGGGCCAAACAGGCGATGTTTAGACCCAACGAGAAGGGAAATATAGAAACCCCTGAGTGACTTTGGTTGAACAGGAAAAGTAACAGGGAATCAATTGGGTTCCTTGGTGGGCGTGTCCTTTGGGGCCACTCAGGAGCCAGTTCTGAATTTATGTTTGGTTTGACCATCTTTAGAAACTAATCCCACCAAACCAAACCGAACATGACAATCCAACAGTGTGTCTCTTTCTTTGAAGGCACCCATTTTTTGGGGGTGCTTTTGAATGGACACCAAAAGGACACCCCCCCCACACACACATTTTAGGGGTCAAATTCCTATGTTAAAACCCTTCCACAAAGTGAAGGTGCGACAAATGGAGAATAACCGACCCCTAAGAAAATGTCAGGGGCCTGTGCTGTGAAGGTGATCATGTGCCAAAACCAGGGAACACATTTTACAACAAGTGTCTTCCATTTGGTGAGATGCCCCTGCAAAAACAAAAGAACACGCATTTCCAGCGGTGAAAGACTCCCTTGAAAGCCTACAAGAGAAAATAGCACAAAGTCCTAAGCAAATGGAAGGTGAACGTGAAAAACCACCCTGGTATCCGCGTGCGAGGGTGAGGGGGATGAAACGCGGTTTTATTTGGCCCATGCCCTCAAAACTGGGCTGTGCGTTTTCTGACGCGTTGCCAAAAGTTTTACCCTGTAGGTTAAATGGAAACCGAACGACTAGACCAACTAACAACAACTAAAACCAAAGTTGAACCGGATGGCTGGGACCAGCAAGAAAACTGTCGCCTGGCGGTGTCATCCAGTTTTGGCCCCGGCGCCCCGTCCTGACGCAAATCCTCATCATCCCCGCCCTCTCCGTCATCGTCGTCATCTTCAAGGGCTTCGGCAGCGTCCTGATCTTCCTCCACGTCTTCCACATCTTCCACGTCCTCCACATCTTCCTCTACGTCCACGGCTTCCTCGCAGTCAATACACGTTTGGTACACCCCTTACGGTGGATGCTCTCAAAATTGCAGGCACACCAACTGTGCCCATGGTTGAGATTACAGGGCTTCCTTTGTTAGCTTGCAATATTTAGGCTTGAATGTGTTCATAAAGCTTTGTGCATATAAGCTTCTCCGGCCAGCAAAAACCACGACGATTGTTTGCGACGCTTGGCTTGCCTCAAAACATTTGCCGCGACGCTTGTTTGTCAAACACAGGTGAGAAACAACTGTCGCAATAGTTGTTTGACAAAACACGGGCGTGCAAAGCAGCAAATGTTTGACAAAACACAACTGAGCAAAACAATTGCCGCGACAAATGTCTGACAAAACGCCAGTGAGCAAAACAATTCTTGCAACACTCATTCACAATATGAGATGCGCAAGGCAAGCTCAAGTAGGCCAGTCTCGGCCTTTGATCTCCAAAGCCGGACGCGGCGGGCGAAGCTGTTGGTGGAATGCTTGACGGCCAAGGACTGAAGGATGGCTTGGGCCCTCTGGTTTGGACCAACCACTGCGACAATGTGGCGGACATGTGCTCTACACCGGTCGAGGTTGGCACGACCCGCCCAAAGAGCCGTGAGTCGAAGGCGCCTTTGCTCCCCTGCGCAAACCCACTTAGGACACAGGCCTCCGAGGTTCTGACAAAGCTGCAAGGCGCAGTTTTGTCTGGTAAGGGTTGAGACGGACGGATGACGTCATAGTTTCGGGTCTGGGGTTGAGTGGACGCTGCTCTGCGCGTGAGATGCTATAATAACGCGCCAGGCCCTTGACCGTGCAAGTCGACGTCTTGTCAATCCATGGGCCCCGGCTAGCCTCAGCAGCGCGTGCCCTGGGCTTCGCGCCACTCGTCGAAGCGCTGCATTTTCGTTGCCAAAGGCTGCCCTTAACAGCGCCTCAGGCGTCAACTTCTTGCAGCCTCTCCTGCCAAAAAGCTTGGCCCTGCGACCGTCCTTGACTCGCGCCACTCAAAGCCATTAAGCCGCCATAAAGTCAAGCATAAAGCAACTAGCCGTCGCAAATGGATGCGCCAACGTGCTTCTAGACAAGTAAGCTGGCATGGCATGTTATGTTAGTTATGCTTTCCAATCCAGAATGTTTCCCGCCACCTGCTGCAGAAACGGTCGCAGTCAGTGTTGGACAAACATTTGTTGCAACAATTGTTTTGCTTGCCGGCACTGCGCCAAGGTCGTTGTTGCGACAATTGTTTGGACATCAAGGTTTTGCAAAACAACTGTTGCGTTTCAAAACAAGGTTTGGCAAAAAACATGAAAACAAGGTTTGCAAAACAATTGTTGGAACACATGTTCTCAAAGCAAGGCTTTGCAAAAACAATTGTCGCGGGCCTCAGGGGTTTGTCAACACACTTGTCGATGTTTGTTTGTACATTTGGGGGCTACTTTGCCTGGATTTTAATTGGGTTTAGTTGGGCGCCCGCAGAAGCTTTCTTGAACACATTCAAATTTAGGCCATCCACAAATCTTGGATGGACGACATCCTGCCCTGTAAATTCCAACAAAGATAGCTGTGGAATAACCGAGAGCGGGTGTTGGTTGAATGAACCGGTTTTGGGTATTCCCGAATAAAGGAAACCAAATCGGGGAAGGGGTCAGTCCTTTGCCACACAAACTTCCGTTTAATTTCTCGCCCTGGGAAACAATGAGAACATCTATATCCAGTGATAGATTCCGAGGATTAAAAAACCCAACAGGCTGGGAAAGGTATGTTTTTAAAGAAACAGATATGAACCGCTTCTCGTTGGAAGTCCTCATAGACATAGGTGACCTTTTGGAAAAGTCGATAGGGTTTCCCTGGTAAATGAAATACATCCAATCTAAAGCTGTGGAACCCATCTATCCAAACCAACCGATCACAAAACCCGGTTTTTGGATGTTTTTGGTCTCACATTAAGCCTAAAAACTATAAATAGGATCGACGACCCCATCTTCTGGCATCGCCTTTGCCAAGCAAAAAGGTGGTTGGCAGCCCACTCTGCTCACGGGAGGTGTTCCGTGTTTTTGTCCTGTCTTCTTAAGATCCATTTCTTAAAAAAGAACAAAACACAAAGTCATAACATACAATTACAGGCCCAGCCATAGCCAAAAACGAACAGCTAAAAAACGAAGAAGAAACAAAAAAAACACGGCCTGGAGCTTCCATCCGGCCTCCCCCCCCCCCCCCGCCCCACCCCTGGCCCCCCCAACTTTCCGCGCCTCTGAGGAGGCCAGGAGCTCCACCCAGGCGCGGCAGCTCGCCACCACCTCCCGAGTGATAGGCCAGCGAGTAACAAGGCCAAGGTGAAACGGGTGGGATCGATCAGCTTGGTTGGTCCTAGGGTTCTGTTTCGGGTGTGAAACGGGGAGGATAGATCAGCTTGCGAGCCTGCTTGGTTGAAACCGCTTGGTGGAAACCGTTTCGCAGATGCGAACTGGACATGACAGTAAGCTTCATGACGCCCCAACCAACCAACCCCCCCCTTCCCCCTGAAATGGAGGTTCGGGTGTTTCATGTACCCACAAGATACCTGGCCAAGGGCCGCCCGCACAAGCGACCTCTTGGCCCATCAAAGCCTTCAGGAGAACACTCCTCTGCGGTTTCCATGAAAACCCTGACCGAGCTCCCAACACCCCGAAATGGAAGACTCGGTTCCATTCACAGAGGCCAATTCAGGGAGAGCTTCCCAGTTGGTCGCTTGGAGTGTAACCCACTTGGCCATGGGTCAAAATCCCGTATCTGCAGCGAACATCCCAATCCCACTAAAATAGACTAAAGTGGGTGGTGCACCTATCCCAAAATGGTACCATTGGTTTTTCACCCATTGAAGCAAGTACTAAGCGGGGTGGTCATCCAAAATTTACCCGCGAGCCACTGTCCAGGCCTCGTCAGCCTCCTGCGTGATGACGAAGCCCTCCTGACTCGGATGTCGACCCATCCCAAAGATCCCCAGAAGCAAAACCCTCCCCCTCCCTCAAAACAAAGAAAAAGAAAAGCCCAAGCCATTGTGGGGGTTGTCCGATATTACTTTCTTCTGACAACTCTCCAATCCCCGGCCTGTTGCGCTCCAATCGCGACCACAGCAGGGGCCCATCCCGGAGCAAACTTGATCACTTCCTCCCATCTTACCAGCAACCATGTAGATGCTACCCCATCGCGGCCCAATCGCCGGCCTTCCGCGACGCAGGTTTTACAAAAAAATCGGCACAACCAGCTTCAGGCAGCCCTCTCTTCTTCGCCCGACTGAACCATGGGCTCACTTCCCGAGTGAGCCAAAACCGGTCTCTAAACTTCGGTTCACCGCTAAAAAATTGCCCCAAAAAGTGGACTCAAGTAATTACGAGCCACAGAACTCGGAACGAGTGAGTGGCCATGAGCCTTGCTGGGGGAAGAATTCGGGTCGTTGGGGACCCAGGTTTGAAGACCGAAGTGAGCAACAAATACGGATGCACAGGCTACACGAACATGCGCCCAAAACCCATTGACTTTGGGTTCCAAGATGGTTTTGAAAGCTTGGGCAAGGCGTACTATAACCAGTACTGAGGTTTTGGGTGTGGCTCATGTGACCCCATTCGAATCAGTGTACTCAGAATTCCCCCTCGTCCAGGAGACAACTCACGCGAATTGAATTGCGTCTTCGCCCGCTTGAACTCGGGGATCACCTCCAAAAGTATGCTTCAATTTTCCTGCACCACCTCAGAAACCCTGGAATGATGATTCCCCTGTAAATACCAAAAAACAGTGGATTTCCATGGTTTCAAAATGGTGCGAAATGGATTTCACCATATTTTAGTCCATCCACAGTGGCAACAACAACTGTTGGTTCCAATGCAAAACCGACATTGAAGGCTTCAACTAATTGCCAGTCATTTGACTCAAAGCCTGAACCCGACGGCGAAACAATCCAAGTCAAAGATTCTCCGATGTTTAACTCCCCGTTCCTTCTTTCGGGGACAGTTTTGGGGGTTCTGAATCATTTGTGCGAAGGAACATTCGACATTGAGGACTCAGTGCTTCTAAACGTGCATCTGTCATCTTTTTTGGCTGTTTGCTCGGAATCGTTTGTGCCAGGGAACTAACATATAGGACTCAGACCCCAAGCAAAGCTTTCTGGTTTGGTGTTTTTGAGGGGAATATCCGTCCCCACAAGGCTCCACCTACAAAAAAGAGGTGGGGTCAGAGTCAGGGGCCCCGCTAGTTCTGTTTTTCAGTTTGCGCCTCGGTTGGGTGTGTCTCAAAATGAGGGGAAGCCCATGTTCCGGTGCTTTTGTTTTCCTTTGGTTTCCCTTTAAACCAACCCCGAAGAGTTGGTTCCCTCAAGAAAAGACGTGGCATTTGTTTTCTTCTCCATACATGGAGTCCAGTGGTCAGAACCCTCCCCCATTTCCCAAATCCAGAGGGGGTGGCTCATCATTTTCCCCCATCCAAACATCATATTTCGGATTCTGGTGTAAATTTGGTGAACCTCACAATGTTCAACAAATCCAGCAAACACACATCCCAAAAAAATCCAGGTCTTGAGAGTTCTTTCTGGAAAAGCAAGTGGAAGACAGGCAACTCGAAGTATGCTTCCTGAGTGGACTGGCCAAATAAGGTCCAAACTTGCGTGACTAAAGTCCGAAACAATACTCGGAAAGCGAGGAAGTGGTCTCAACACTCCTTTCGGAGAGATCCAACCAGATTTCGTTCGTCAGCTCACTGGCTCTCCTCCACAGCACCGCCCTCCAGTGCGTCCAGCGCCTGATGAGACCCAGACTCACATGCGAAGCTCGGGGTAATTTGGGTGTGCCGTTTTTTAGAGGACTCTTAAAGAGGGTTCATTTTCTTTTGGCTTGCTTTAAAACAAACCAAACAGGGTCACCCAAGTGGACCCAGGATTTGTCTAAACACCGTCGATTCATCAGGGGGGCCTCGCCCATAGGGCAAGACTTCACTCTTGTTCTCGTTTTTCTTTGGGGGGACCCAGCCGCCCAAATTAATCCGCCTGATCAATCTGGGCTCAACATTCCAATTGGGGTACGCACTGTACCACAATTTCCCGGGACTTTTCTTTTGACAACAGGCGATTCTTTTGCTGGCCCGGGTGTGTCCTTAGTCAGAGCCCAGGGTTCGTGAGCGTGTGGGAAAGCCAAAACGGGAACAGCACGAAGTTTCTGCGGAGGGGATATATAATGAGTGGCTGGTAATCGCGAAAACCACCTGGGCGCCCGTGTGCTTACTGGCCCTCCCAAAAACTAACACGGAACCTGAGGTTGGTGGTTGGTGTTAAAGGGAACCCACAAAGAAGTTGTTTGTGTTGTTTTTTCTCTGGGGGGTGGGCATTTTGAGACAAACCCACGTATATATGCATGGACTTGGCTGTTCCCAGATCCCCTCCGAAAAGTTTAACTTATAACGGGCCAAGTGGAAACTAGCAAGAAACCCTGAAACCTAAAAACCTAAGGGGTACCACTAAAACAAGTAACACCTAAAAACCTAAGGGGATGGCTGAGAACCACCTAGTTTAGGAGGGGAATGATCTTTCGCATATTGCCGGTCGTCATCTGGCGTTGGTCATCCGAGTATCCGACTGAGCTGATCCAGGAATGTTTGCTTAGAAACCCTCAGCTTGCAGAGTTGCAGCCATCCTGCAAAACATAACTGGAACTGCAGGCTTCCTGTAGCTACTTGGCTATGGCTCAAAAAACCGGAAGGAACCCTGGTAAATGGAAACATGGACCAAAACCTGCGTAACCCCCACTGTTTAATTTTGAGCCACACCCACTTGGAGGACTAGAACCAAATTGGTAAAGTGTGGTGCGTTCCCACCGGTAGCCTGGGTTCTACGGCTCGGACGCGTCGTTGATAGTGCTTTGTCCAGCAAAACGGTCCCGAAAGACGTGCCCAAAAGCTGGCTGTCATCAACCCTTGGAACCCCATTGAATGAGTCGGTGAGTCGAGGCTGGAAGCGAAGCTTGGAACTCTCACTGAAGTGAACCATTCGGACTCCCACTGGAGAAAACACCCGCCAAGAGCCAAATCTCCTTGGCGGCGGAATCTCCAATTGAGTCGCAATCAAAACCTGAATAGATGAAGGTTAGTAAGGGACGATCCCCTTGCCATAAATAGCTGCGGACCTCCGCCTTCTTAATCCTTGAAGCATGGTTCTGGGATCACGACCATTTTAGCACCGGGCTTCGATGCCTCATTTGGATGATCACCCGGCTCACATTTTTTTTGCTTCGGTGCCCAGTTCACAAGTCCACCAAGTGGGTGAACCCACTCCATGCACCAACTTTCATACCGATCGGATTTTTGATTGCGACTCAACTTCCTCATTCGGATCCCAAGCCTCCCGAGCATGGGAGCAGTCTTTGAGGGTACCCGTTTTGATGTCGTGTGTTGTTTTTTTTCTTTTCGGACTGAGTCCATTCAAGTCCCCTCGAGTTGGTGGTAAGTCATTTGAGTTAAAGGGAAAGCTCACCTCAATTCAGCACACGTATGTCAATACCACGCACTCAAAAAAGAGACATTTATGTCTTACCGGAAAAAAGAAAAGAACAAAAAGAAACAACACACTGTGCAAAACCACCTAAAAGAGTATGTCTTACGGACAAATCAACCAAAAACAAAGAGGCAAAATGGGTCTTGAACGGGTGTGTTGCCTCCAGTTGCTTAAGCCTCCTGGAAAAAGTAAACATATTTCCAGCAGTGGTAGATTCCTTTTAAAACCAAGAGGGGGGAATCCAAACGGGGATCTCCGTTTTTCTGGGCCGTCCTCAGATCTGCCAACCGAGTGTACCTTTCCGTGGTTTAGTAAAAACTGGGATCCGGATGCATTGTACACCTGAACATTGCCTCGTAAATGGCGGTTTCCCTTTATTTTGGTGGAAAAAGCCATGTTTCAAATGGGCAAAATGTATCTTTTAAGAAGCCCTGGAAAGCCTACACCACTCAACCACCACGAACCACCAAGCATCCACGATTTAGTGGTTGAGTGCGGTCGGCGGCTCACTTGCCTTTTGGCGAACGGGGCGTCCGTGGACCAGAGTTTCGGAACCAGCAAGTTCACTGGCCCAGGGCGTTGGGAATACACAGGAGATTCCCTTAACGGAAACCAAAGCGGGGATGCTTCACAATTCGGAGGTCATTCCAATACCGCTTAGATTCCCTTTCTTTCCCTTTAAAACCAAGAGGAGCAAAAAAGAAATGGATAACTTCCTCTGGTTCAATTCAACATCTTTAACCCCCAAGTCACCACGTCAGCTGTCCCTCCACTCAATTCAGAGGTCGAGTCCGCGCGTCCGCGCGCCCGCATCGACGAAGGCGGTGGATTCCGGGCCTTCCAGGCGAGCGCCAGCTCCAGGAGCTCCCGGAGCTGCAGCAGCAGCGCGTTGGTCGTCCCCAGCCGCGCCCCCACCTCCGCGCGCTCCGCGCGCATGCCGCAGGTGGAGACGGAGTTTGGGGGTGGGAAGCTTAGGGGTTCTCATAAAAGAGCCCGAAAAAAAAAAACTCGGAGGCTTAAACAAGAAGGACAAAAATGGGCTGCTAAAAAGAAGAGTGCTTTCTTTTGCACAAAAGCTTGGAGCCAAAAAAAATGGCCTTTCAACAGAATGGGGGCTTTTGTTTGGCCCTCTAAATGTGACTCGGCCTTTGAGCACGGTAGTGGGCCAGTCGTTGGCCCCTGTCCTTGTTGTGCTGGCTGGCCGACGGGGCCTTTTCGCTAAGATTCAACGCTCAATTTCTCAGCAGCCGTTTCGGTTGGTGGGCATTTCGCTAAGAAACTCAGGCTGCAAAGCAACGCAGAATTGCAACCTGACAAATCAAGACAAGGTTAAGAACAAATGCTGAGAAAGCAAGCACCTGGCTCCAGAGTGGTATAGGTCCTCGCACTATTAAACACACACACACATAATGGATGTTAATCAATTGAGGTTCTCTGAGTCTCGACCAACTTCAAAAAAATAAAAATAACACTGAGGGTTGTACTTTCCCGAGCAACTCGCCTCAAAAAAGACACACCCAGTTGGTTGGGATTGGGGTACCCCTGATTTCTTGCTCTCCAAACCACCCTTTTTGAGGGAACCTGAACCTTCCTAGGAGTTGTTGTTGGAGCGCTCATGTCAGATTTTGAGGCCTGCCTTGAAAACAATGCTTCGGGCCAGGGAACTCCCTTGAGAAAAAGAGCTTCCAACTCTAAAATGCGTGGATGAGAGGAGTTTGTCTCTAGCTTACAGCCCCATATCAAAATAAGGGCAACAACAAATAACAGTATTTTCCCTTGAGTCATTCCTTTCTGGGTAGAAAGACCCAAGAAGCCCCCCCCCCCACCAAAAAAATCGCATTCCTCGTACAAACCTGCCTGGATCAAAATACCCCTGAACATTGGTGATTACCCCAAAATCAAGGTTGTTGAATTCAAACGTTTTTATGGGCAGTTTCAGGGTCCAGGCAGAACCCTGTCCCACTGCAGAAATTGATTTTCACATTTGCCACCTTAGGCTTGGCTAAGAATTTGAGGTTCCCTGAGTCTCGACCAACCGATTTCAAAACAAAAGCAGCCCTTAGTTGGTTTGGATTTGAAGCTTGCGGGTACCCCGCATTTCTTGCACACCAAACCACCCTTTTTCAAGGGAACCTCTTCACCTTCCTAGGAGCTCCTGTTCAGGCACTCCTGTCTGATTTTTGAGGCCTGCAACTCGAAATATGACTCCAATATGTATGGATTTGAAAAGGCCTTTTCCTCTATAGCTTACAACCCCGTATCTGTGATGTTGTTTTCCCTTCAGGCCATTCCTTTGGATTGAGGGCGGCTTTGCCGCCCACATCCTCATTCCCCTCAGAGAAAAAACAAAAAAACAAAACGCCCATCCGTGCGCATCCTCCGCCCTCCTCCGTCCAAAGCCGCGCCTGGAGCCAGTTGTCCAGCACCATGCAGGTGTGCCGCTTCTGGTCGTGGGACTCCTTAAAGCGGAGACCCCCGAAGAGGGCGATCTGCCAGTCCGCGGCTTTGGTGGTGCGGTGCAAGTAGGACCTGCCACCGGGTTTGACGCACGCGCAGACTATTTTTTTGCTTTTGGTTCCGGGATGTTCCGGGGGAAGCCATGATCTCAGATACCCAGTGGATTTCCGGGAAAAAAGGATCGGCATCCTTTTTCTGGTTGGTGGAGTTTAAAGGGAATCCTTCCCCAAAAGAAAAGGAAAAAAGGGCACCGCTGGGCAACTGGGCATGGGGCATGGGCCGGAAGGCCACGACGTGGCGCTCTGGGTGGGTTTCCAACCCAAACGGTGGCCAAAAAACGTCGACCGTTTTGCAGCCCCCTAGGCAAATTGAACAAAAACCTAAGAGCTTAAAACATGCCAACACACATGGCACTGTGGATGGTTGCGAGTCATCCGCATCGCACCACGGTTAAGCCATGGGAAGGAAAGTGGAACGTTTGTTACTGTATTTACGTTTTGGAATCGAATCATTCTGTTGGGTTTCGGGAAGGTGGTGCGAAATGGATTTCGCAACCGTCCACAGCATGGCATGGGTGTCTCGTTTTGGGGTTTTAGACCGGGACCCAACTTGGTGGTTTTCCAACTTGGGCTTCCTTTTACCCCAAAGAGGGTGCCCTCAAAAAATGGACACCACCACATAGGCATGTTTAGTCTACCTGAAGAACTGACCCAAACTGGTCTGCCTATTGACTGGATCATCCGGCTCTCTAAAAGTTCCACACGAAGCCGCCCAAGTGAAAACCACTCGAGCTCCGCTCCCCTTCCGACAGCGACAACCGGATTCATCCCTCGCATCGCGGATCGATCGGATCGCCTGTTGCCGGTGGCCTGCACGTCCCCATAGAGCCACCAGGGGTGCTCCGAGCCGCCGCCGGAGTTCACGGAGGCGGGGGACATCACGGCGGTGCTGTGGGTGCTCAAGTGGAAGGAGTTCCTGGGAGACCGGGAGACCCGTGTTTTTTTCTTTCTCCCCCAACCAAGCCGTTTTTCATTTGGGGAAAAATAAAGTATGTCCAGTAGTGATAACTTCCCTTTAACACCAACAGGGGACAATAAAACATATTCTTAAGCAAACGGAAGAAGCCTGTTTTTCGACCTCCTTTTTACCTTTTGGTTGGCCAACACATAGGTTGTCGGAAAAGGAGTTCCTAAGGGACCTTGGGGATCTCAGCAACTCTCTGGCCCCTCAGGGAGCGAATTTGAAAGAGCTGAGTTGCCCCGGATAGCCAGAAATAGAGGGTGATCACCTTTGGGGGCCCCTACAAATGGAGGAACTAGAGGGTCAAAAGGTTGGCTTGGGCAAGTGAGAAAGGGCCACCATTTTAAGGTAACCATACTTGCTAAGTACTTACTTTGGGTGAAACGCGCGACTCTGACGCACCAACTGAAACTCACGTTTTGTCTTGGTGGTTTGGAGCCCTGTTGGGAGGTTGCGTGGCTTGACTCAAAGCAGTGGGACACGACGGGAAGCAAGCCCAACTGCCAATGTCCAGAAAATCAACTGGGCGTCTTGGTTTTGGAATCGGACCCGAAATGCATTCCTGGGCTTGGTAGTTGTCTTTGAAACCACAACAAAAAGGCGGTACCCAAAACCCAAACGGACAGATGACAGGCCCGGTTGTAAGTAGTTTGTTCTTCCCCGGTCGGAAAGCGGACTTCTCCGAGTAGCTGGCGTCACGTCCGGAAACGCGGGCCCACCGGAAAGGCGAATTGAATCACCCCCCCCCCCCCCACGCCGCTTTTTGCCCATTGCAGAACCTCCAAAACCATCTGGGTATGGCTCAAAATGACAGAGCTGGGGTTACGCGGGTTTTAGTCTTTGGTTCCATTTACCAAGGTGCCATTTTGGTTTATTTTTTTTGAGCCGCAGCCATCTGTTTCATTTGGGGGGCCCGCTGGTTTTTCCCCAACTCAACCCCGCTTTTCGACCTCCGTTCCTCCTTTTGGTTGGGTCCAACAGCTGGTTCGTCGCAGGGGAACGGGTCCGCATTTAACCTACGGTTCGGCAATGCGTGCTGTGAAAAGGACGATTCTTGGAATCAGGGTTTTTGAGTCCACCATAGCCACCAAGCCATGCTCTCTCCAAATTTCTGAGTCACAGTGCAACATGGGGGGGATCCCCACTCCGCAATGGCACCCCGCAACAAGGGGAACATCTACCTGGCATACGAATTGAGGATTAAGATGAACAAATCATGATCATAATTACTTGACCACCCGAACCGGCGGAGGGGGTTTTGAGCACGACCGTTTTGAGCCACCTTAGCCGCAACTCCAAGTGAAACTTCAAACTTCACCCGAAGATAACATGGCCATGGTTCAAAACCAATGGTATCATTTTGGGATAGGTGCACCCTTGTTAGTCTATTTCAGTGGGGATTGGGATGTTCACTGGGGGCATGGGGTTTTGACCCATGGCCACCATCGTTCTTTTCAAAAACCAGCCATTTCCGCGTTTTTGGCGGTTTTCTAGAAAGATCCGGATCCCTGGAAAGAATGGAAATGGATAAGTTACCCCTAGAAACATACCTTCTTTTTTTTCAGGGAAATCCGGAGCCAAAGGCTCCGGTCGAGCTTGGCGATGTTGGCGGGGTAGGCGCTGCAGAGCATCGTCGCCAGCAGCGCGTCGCTGGTTGGAGCCTTGTCGCCGGAGGAGTCCTCCTCCTGGCGGGGCACGATGCAAAACTTCCAACCACGAAGAGCCCCCCACCGCCAAAGTGAGGTGAAACAAGGCCCGAGATAAGCCCAAGGAAGCGGCTCGATGGTTGGGGTCCTTCTTGGATCGGCCAAGTTAGTAAGTTGGCCATCTGGGTTATAACCCACTACTGTGGATGGACCAGATCCTGCTTTGATACCATGGGAAACCATTGTTTGCTGGTAATTGCAGGGGAATGATCATTTCAGGGTCTCTTAGGTGGTGCAGGATTTCGTCCATCCACAGTAGGAGCAAGGTTAGCCACTGAGCCGGGGCTTAAAATTAATGGGGTTATACCCGAATTGTTGCCAACAACTTCCCTAAATGAATGAAACACCCAAGTGAGTCACAATCAAAACCCGGTAATAACATGGTTGTAATCTCAGAACCATGCTTCAAGAACTAGAAAGGCGGCCGCAACTATTTTCGGCTAGGACTGCCCCTTACTAGCCTTCAGCTACCCGGGTTTTGATTGTGACTCACTTGGGTGTTTGATTCGCCAAGGCAAGTTGTTGGTAACAATTCGGTTAAACCCAATGATAAGCCCTATAACCCAGATGGCTAGCAACTTACTAACTTGGCCGAACATCCAAGTAAGGACCCCATTGGGCTTGTTTGACTTCATTGCGGTTTTCTCGGGCCTTATCTTTTTTGCCTTGTCTCGGGCCTTGTTTGACCTCACCGGGGTTTTGGGCCGTATTTGGCTTTGCTTGGCCTGGTAGAACCTCTTGAAGTGAAGATATGAAAATATCAAATTGGTAGATGGCTCTTAGGCGCTCAGAACCGCAGGTGCTTGGTGCTCAAAACCAAGCAACGGCGCCACCTTGCGGAGGTCAACAACGATTACACCAAAACACAACCGGGTCCAACAGTGAGAGAACACGTCAAGAACAGGGTAGAAATGCAAAACACTGCGCAGTCGTCTACAAAATGCATCTATCTGGCAGCTAAAGCTTGCCACAATTCGCTGACTTGACATAAGGAATCTCCCGAGGAACCTGTATTATAGAATTTGCTCCAACCACTCACCCCCTTACTCGACCTCAGCTTTTGCTCGGCCAGCAATACTATCCCGCCTATTCTGAGACAGACCCAACAGGAACAATGCTTTGTTTTCGGTGGCGGGATTCTCCTCAAGAAAGACGCGCCCCATTGTCCGAGACCCAAAACAAGCCCAGGCAGTATCCCAACAGCCCCGATTCGAACCCGCTGGAACCCTCCGGAACCCTCCCTGATTGCTGCCGCAAACCACCCAGAATGTATTATGGGCAGAGACCAAATCCATAGCTTTCAGCTGTAAGGGCCAAAACATGTTTGTATACGTTTGGAGGATTTTAAAGGGACGCCACATAGAAAAACACCTTCTTCTTTTTGTGGGGGGAGGGAAGTAACTCTCCCAAACCCTACCTCAGAGCCACCCCGGAGCCTATCTGGGCAAAGACCCCATAGCTTTCAGCCGTTGCTTTCCTTTAAGGGGAACCCCCGGTTTGTTCCCAACATCCGGGCTTGGTCACTCCCCACTGAGCACCACCAAGAATTATACCAGCATAGACCCCAGATAGCAAGAGAGTGGTGGTTGGCTGAGCTAAAGACACGAGCCATAGCCGATGATTTCGTGGATTTGCTGAACGCGCCCACTCCCTACTAAGCACCACCTTAAAAACCGAGCAAATCCCCCTTAAAACCGATGACGCAACTGGTCAAATCCCCTTCTAGCAGCTCATAGAAACGGGTCAACTTACCATCTAGAAGGAAAAAATAAAAACAAAAAATAAGACAAAAACACGTCCTGCTCCACCTCCAGGAGCGTCTCCTCCAACTCCCCGCGCGTCTCCAGCACCTCCGCACTCTCCGCAGCTGCGCCCTCCGAGCCACGCAGCAGCCCGGCGCGCCGCAAGTCGCGGAGGAGGTATGCCTGCGAAGTGGGACAACCCATGGGGTACTACGAGCTAAACTGTTGGGGGCACAAAACACTCCAAAACTTTACCAAACAAAACCCAAGTCCCAAACAAACCAGGCAGCCACTTTGGCTGCCTATGCATGCTCTCAGAATCTGATTCACATGTCTCTTGAGCTTACTCCAGATCCCCGACCTCCCGCAGCGAAGCGAAGAAGCCTCGCCTTGTCCCGCACCAAGCCGCTGAGTCGGCTGGCGCTCAATCGCCGGGCCGCCGCCCACTCCTCCGTCGCCTCTGCTGACAGCGCCTCCCACTCGGCCATCGCCTCGAACGAACTCTCATCTCAGATGGAGGCGGTCAACCAACTCTTGGCTGCTGTAACGACCCCTCTGCAAAAAAGTTCCATTTTTTGCGGGCTCAATGGAAAACCAACGTGATTTCAACCAAAAAACTAAAGTCTAAAGATCAAAAATACAGTCTGTACTGTGTGTTTACCACTAAAATGGTCTTCCGAAAAGTGTTAGAGTCCAGAACTCAGGAAGTGAGAAGTAGCCCTGAAACCCTGTGCTTTCCACCGCCACGCCGTGTTTTTCGTTCCTTTCTCTCGGGTTTCAGTCATCGAACAAACCCCGAGAATTCGTCCATGTGCCAATGGAAGACAAGTCATTCAGGGCTCCCTATACTTCCCCTTGAGACATCACCCCCACCCAGGGACACTCACCTTTCATGGGCCAAGAAGGTGATGTTTAAAACCGCCAAAAAGGGAAATATAGGGACCCCTGTCATTTGTGACCCATTCTTCATCACATACTGAAACCTGGGAACGGTTGGTTTTGGCTTTGGGTGCCGTGCAGATTCCCTGGAAGCCACTGGGCTCTGTTCGGATTGTTGGAACCAAATCCACAAGCTCCCACGAGTGGACTGGAAGAAAAAGTGAGAACTGATTTGTGTACCACCAAGATGGTCCAAACCCGAAAAGTGACTAAACACCATGAACTCATGCAGGGAGTGAGTTTCTAGCGGATGAAGCCGAAAGAGGCTTCAGAGTGGACACCACTGAACCCAATAGTTAGCGCTAGCCAAGGAAAGCACCTACCAAGGAAACCAACCAAAGTTCAAACTTGTAGTTTCCCAGTAAACTGGCCCAAACCCTAGAAGTGACCAAAGAACCACAAAAAACAAAAACAGTTTGACCTTCAAGTACAGGGAGCGAGTAAGCCAACGGAAGCCAATGGTTCAAGCCATGGCTTCCCCTCGAACGAAGCGGCCCCCGAGAAAAAGAAATTCTCCGCGCCTTGGCGGCGGCCAAGGGGTCGGACCAACTGCAGAAGGCCTTCCTGAGATGTCGGAGACGGAGCCCAAGGCACACATGAGGGGTGTCCATTTTTGCTAGGATTTGGACCCTCAAGAATGGGTTTCCCGGCGGTTTCCTTGAAACGACAAACTTGTGTTTTGGATTTGGACCCCCCAAAAATGGGGGAATGGGTTTTTCCGGTTGGTTTCTCCACCAAAGAAGGGATGCCCTCAAGCTGCTTTAGGATTCGGATTCCCAAAAATGGCGCAACGGTGTTCCGTTTGGTTTCCGATAAAGCCACCAAACAAGGGTACCAACTCCAAAAAGATACGCCCAAATATCTCACACGCCCAAAGGACCTGGAAGCCAAAAGGGATCACCTTTTTTGGGACCTCTACAAACAGACCAAACCAGAAAAACAAAAGGTCAGACCCTTCGCTGTGGGCAAGGGAGCTATAAGCAACAGATCAAACACTTTCCTTGTGTTTGAAGGGTGGTTTCCTTGGCGTCCTGCTCGCGGTAACTGGAAGAAAAAGAAACATACCCCGCACATCCCCGCACTGAACAAGTACATTGATTAGAGCGAGTTTTCTTGAGGGAACCCTTTTTGGGGTGGTTCTAAAGGGAATAGAACACCGCCCATTTTGGGGGTTCACCTAAGAACCACAAACCCATTTGAGTGAGTTGGAAGACTTCACCAGTCCAAAAATAAAGCACGCACAAGAGACACCAAGGTTCCTGAGGATGCAAACCAACATCTGTGTGAGGTTGCCAAAATCTGCTTCAAATGCTTCCCCTTAACTAAAAGACCAACTGGAGTACCTACCACTTACAGCGTTTGAAGTAGCCATTTGTGCCCGCCTAAGAGAGGAATTTCACCGATATGGTTTTCCAGCCCTTCTGAATCCCTTTTCATACGAAAAGAGGGCTCCTTTCATTCTTCGCTTTGGTGGACATCATTCAGCGTGGGGATCTGTGCCCACGCGTTTTGCAGGGAGTTCAACACGTGAGCTCTGGGATCTGAAATCATAGCCATATGAGTAGATTGCCAAGTGGTGCAACCATCGCTAATTGATCTGTAGGTTCGTTCCCCGAAAAAAAAACATGTGATATCGCCTTGTCCCCCCAATAGGGTTCCCTGCACTTCCCCTTCAAACATCACTTGGCCAGTTTTCGACTCTGCAAAAGATGAACTGGTTCTCTCAATCGCCACGTGCCGAAACATGGCTAGGCTAAGCCGAAGTATGACCCAGGGGACAAGAAGTGAGACGTAGCCAAGCGCCGATCGCATTGAAGCTACGGAGCCCGAAGGGAACGACGCGTAGTTCCGAGACAATTGTGTCCGGAGGCCCGAATTAGGCGTTGCGGCAGAGGAGTGCATCATGAGGCACAAAACGAGGAGGAGAGGTCAAGGGCACATGCAAATGAGATGGTGCCGTTGGCACATGTCAAGTATTCCGTCAGGAGGGATGAAACCCGATCCTGGTGTGGAAAGTGTTGTTGTGTCTCAAGTCCTTGAACCTGAAGGCCACGACCAAGTTTCATCTTCTTGGTTGAATTCCCTGTACTTTGGCCAGGTTTGACACCAAGTAGGGGTGTAGCGGATACCTTCGGTGATATAGGTATCCTTATGCGCACTGCAGGGGATAGGGATCGGCCACTGGCTACTCAAGCGAAAGGAAACAAGGCGCTCGGCCCAAGAAATTTCAGCTTTTGCAGCTGGAGTCACGAAAGTTTCTGCGCTCAGTCAATGAGCATTTGGTTGTATGAGCCTGTACAGACTGGGGCGCAGTTAATTGGTGACCACTTACTAGAGGGGGACCTGGGAGCGGATGAGGAAAGTCTGGCGCAGAAAGACCCAAAGCTATCGTGCTTAAAACGACCCAATGGCTGCAAGAGCATGGTGCACAGGGCGCCAAAAACGCACGGCATTATGATGGTCGGCAAGAAGCTTGTTTTTAATGAGTGCTTCAGCTGGGCCGTCATGTTTGACTGCGGCCTTCGCTGCAAGATCAGCGCAAGCATTACCGAATTGATGGATGCTGTGAGTTGGTGGAGCAATCCTGGTGAGATTTAAGCGTTACCAGGGAAAATGCTACGGACCTGGGTGGGCACTCTCCCGCATGTTGAGCAGCAAACGCCTTTCCCGAGCTGCCGGCGTTTTGCAGCGCACCGTGCTCCGTCACTCGCCTTTCATGGTGGGCTGAGCCTGAGCATGAGCACCTTACAACATCCTGAGCCCCCTGATGGGACATCCTCAGACGAAGTTAATGTCATAAACTCCGTCTGATGCCGTTCGTGGAGTGGCGAGCGCCGTCTTGATCGGTTCACCACACCGTGACCTTCTGCCCGGATAACGCGCCGGCCCGCGCTGGAGAACTCGCTGATGAGTCCGACGGCGTCACACTTGACGTGGGGGAGGGCGCGCTGGAGTTTTGTTGGTGGAACCAGGTTGTCGAAAAGGTCGAAGAGCTCTGGCAGGGACCTGTCAAAGTTTTTCAGGTTTAATGTCAAGTAAGGCTGGGGCAACTCCTGAGCGTCGTTCGCCGGTTTTGACAGGAAACAAAGGAAATCAAAGGGGGAGCCACTCGCTTTCAGCGCCCCATTGCTCGAGACAAGCCCGGAGAACCAACGTGGGTTTGTCTCATGGTGCCAGGATCCAACCCTGAGAGCACCTTCTCCTTAGACGTAGCCCCCATTTTTGCGTGCCACAAATTGGTGGTGCGGCACCCTTCTTGGGATTTTGTAGGATCCGATGACATCTGGTATCCAACGTTGGGAAACTCGCGCAATAGAATTGAATTTGGCTCGCCAGCTGCGATTGTCGCCCAAGTGCAGCCAGCCAGCAGGTACGTCGATCCGGCGTCCCGGACCGATATCACGGCATGAGAGGAGTGTCTTCGTTGAGCGGTGACTCCAAACATGCCCACCGCTCCCCTGCTTCTTTGTCACGCGTGAAATGCGAGGCTGAAAGGGAAAGCGTGCCTGATTCTTGGCACGTGCCACACACCCACACATTTGGGGCAGTCGACTGCGCAAAAGGTCCGCACAGTTGGGAGCCAGTGCAAGTTGTAGGGTCAAGGCCACAATGCACACAAATGTCCAGCAAGTTGGTAGTCCTGCTTTGTTTTTGTTTTTGGGGTTCCGCTCACTTACAAGATCACGCGTTGACCAAGAATGGTGAAACCGTCTTGCGAGCACTAACACTTCAGGAAGGAATTGTTCGACTGCAATAACGCGGCTTGGATCGACCCCCACCAAGTCCTGAAATTGAGGAAGCGGAAGGAACTTTGGCCATGTACAGACACACACACACACACGGGTGAGAAAGGGCACTACTGAAACAACCTAGCCCGTATTTATGGGTTGGAGGGTTCCGGTCCAGGTCCCCCAAAAAACGAGAGACATTCGGAAACCTTCGGCCGAAATCTGGTCGACCTGCCGCTGGGCCGCTGTGCTTCCACCAGCTCCCCGCGGCTGCCCACGAAGGGGGACCGACCCCCCGCCGCCACCAGCAGCGCGGCGCCGGCCTCTCGACTAACCGAATTCTCGAGCCGAGTCGAGCCGAGTCCGGGCGCCTCGGAGTTACGCGAGCAGAGTGGGGTGGGGAAAACTTTGGGCCCAAAAAAATTGGGTTGTGGTTTTGGGCGGCCTTCAAAATTTTTGGGTTGTGGTTTTGGGCTGCCTTCGAAATCTTGGGTTGTGGTTTTGGGCTGCCTTCTAACATGTTGGTCGCCTGCCTTCCCAAAACGGCTTTGGGTTTTTGGTCGCCCTGAACACTTTTCTCTGCCCAGACCTGGGACCTGGACCACCTTGGGCCAGGACTAAAATGAAGCAAATCAGGGAAACCGTTTTCTTGACCATTTCACGATCAGAAAAATGGACCCATGGCCAGCCTTATTCCACCAGCATCAAAGTCGGCCCGCAAGTGGTAGGTTAAAGGGAAACCACCCCCAGTTGCCTACTTGATACTCAACAGCGCCCCCGGTCAAAATGGGTTGCTTCAAAAACCGGGGCTTTTGTCCAGGATCTTCATTGGACTGCATTTGAGAGGTCAAAGGCCTTAGGGGTGCTGCAACAGAGGCGGCAGTTTGAGTCAGTTTGTCCCAAAGCTAAAAAAACAACATTTTCAGCAAGTTGGTCAGCCCTCCCTTCTGGACGAAATCCACGCCGATCGGCAGTGATGGATGAAGCCCTACCAACTGGTGCAAAGTCAATTTTATCCATCCAGCGTAGCTCCAAGGCACTTCATGTATCTGTAGAATCAGGTCGGATGCATTTACAATGAGGTGCTGTTGTGTGAAGTGAGAGCCATGTTTTCTTGCAAGAAGTCGTTTGTTTGTGCTTTTTTGGGGAGGGAATGCGCATTTCTGCAGATAAGAGGCTCTTTCTTTGGGGGGGATTGGACTCATGTACCAGCTATCTTTACAATAGAGTAAGGAGCTGCTTCTTGAAGGGCGAGAACTGTGTTGCTTTTTCCCATATTCATCTTTTGGGGGGGAGTCTTCGGGCGCTTTGATTCTGCTAAAGACCATCCCCCCCTTCCACAGACCCCCTGGATTGGTCGTACTTCCTCCTTTTTGGGCTCTACCTTGTGTCCAGTGTAGTGCAAAGACCTGGAATCTGTGGTAGAAAATAAGCTCCCTCTTACAAAATGGTGGTTGAAAGGGAAACTTCCTAAAAGGAATCTGGATAACATGCAACTGTTTTGAGGGACCCAGTAACGGGACTGGGGAGTCTTTAAGGTTTGGCCTTCTTTGGAGGGTCGTTGGAAGAGTGCTTAAGGGATGGTGGTTGTAGGGTCTTTGTTCTTGGCCAAGGTTCAACCCCAAACAAAAGAGATTAAACAAAATATATTTGAATATGTCTTTTGTCGTCCAGGGAAAAGAAGTAAATCACTACCCAAACATTGACCAAGCCTTAGGGTCGGAAAAGGACTTGGGGTGTCCTTGAAGAATTCTTGGGGGTAGTTGTAGGGTACACTTCGGGGCACACACACACACACACACTTGGGTCTGTCCTTCTGTTCTTGGCTAGTTTCTCAAAGGGAAACCAAGAGGAACACCGAAACCATTTTGTGGGGCACCCAAAAAGGAAAAAAACAACACGCCACCAACAGCTCCATTCAAAAACGTCACACACACACAGAGAAACAAAGATGAATGAACTCCCCCCCCCCCCGTGGAAGGGTAGACCATGTATAATGTGGCGCGCGCGCGTGGCTCACATGACCAGCACGCCCCTTGTTGTTTTCATTATTCGAATCACTCCATATACTTTTACAGGGGCGGGTGACTGTTGAGGAATGCCAAATCCAATTCTTAAGTGTCTAATTCTTCCAAATATTCCCGAATGGACGGGCGTGCTTTGGATCTTCAACGCAATTTCCATTTTTGTGCAGCTATTCTAATTGTTTTGTTCCCGCAAGGGTCTGGAGCCCTTTGGCGAATTTCAGATCCATGCTTGCTCTAACTATTCTGCGTCTAAACCTACTATCTTATCTTATTTTATTGCCAAAGCGAGGGCTTCCTTTCGGGAAATGCAACACTCATGCTTGTTCTAATCATTCTAAGCATTCTCACAATTCTAACATTCTGTTTTTCAGTGGCCGGGCGCCTTGTTGGGAATGTCCAGATTCACTTTGAGCTAATCATTCTACTTCTCATTTTTATCCTAACATGTGTTCCCAAAGGGACGGGTGCTTTCTGGGGAAATCCAGACTCGCTGTCTAATTACAATGATGTTCTAACTAGCCTAATTCTTCGATTTATTCAAAATGGGTTGGGTGCTTTCGTGGATTTCCTGGCTATACTCTTCTGATTATGCGGGTTATGCTAGTTATTCCCAAAGGGACGCGTGCCTTTTGAGAAACTAACCAATTCATTGTTGCTAGTTGATCTACTTATGCTAAGAACTTGGATAAGTAGTATAATTAGAACACAGTTCCCTATTACTCATGTTTCTGAAAGGGACAGGTGCCTTTTGGGGAATTCCAGATGCAATTGATTTAATTCGTCTAATGATTCTTGATATTATCATTCTAAGTATTCCAAAGGGACGGGCACCCTTTGGGGAAATCCAGATTCAGTGTCTGTTCTAATCATTCTACGGTTGATTTGTCCAATTACACCAATTATTGTGGAATTCAAGATTCATGTTTGCAATACGCAAGTGTCAGAACCATTCTCGTTACTCTATTTTTTCCCGAGGGGCCCTTGGGGAAATGGCAGATGTGTTTAGATCATTTCAAGTCTTGGAGTGGTTCCAACTCGGTGAAATAAATAGAATAAGACGAAGACGCGTAGCCGTATTTGTACGCGTAAATCGTGTGTATCTGTTCTAGTTATTAAAATGAGTCTACCGAATTAGAATATTAAACAACACAGACCAGATAACGCCCTTTGTTTTTCTAGCCACTCGGCTTATTCTAACTGTTCAAACAGGGGCGCGTGCCTTCTCAGGAAATCAACATCACTTTATTTGCAAGTTCCTGTAATTGTTCAAGCTGTTCTAGTTATTCCTCACGGGAAGGATGCCCTTTGGGGAACCTCAGATCCATGTTTCAAATTGTTCTACTCATGTATTCCGAAAGGGACAGGTGCCCTGTTGGGCGGAATTCCCGAAACATTGACTTCTAATTGACTACTGTTCCCATTGATCCGAATATCCAGGACGATAAGAGAATATATGTTTTGCTAACTGTTCTAAATATTCTACTTGTTCCCAACTGGACAGGTGCCTGTTTGGGAATTCCAGACTCATGTTTGCTCCAGCTATCCTGAGTAGTTTCATATTCTATCCATTGCCCAAGGGACGGGTGCCTTTTGGGCGAATTCCAGATTAGTGTTTGTGCCAATGTTTCTAACTCTCTAATTATTCTGATTATTCCGGTGCCTTTTGAGGAATTCAAGATTCATCTTGCAAATTACTTTATTTAACACAATTCTTCTAGTTCTTCTAATTGTAATCTCTAGGGGGTGGGGGTGCCTTTTACAGAATTTCAGACTCGTGTTTGCTCTAGGTATGATACTTTTATCAAAAGAGATGGGGCCTTTTGGTGAATTCCATAGTTTTCCCACACTGTTCCAATCATTTGAAAAATTTCCAGCTGAGCAACCTTCTTTTGGTGAGTAGAGAGGGTGACAGTTGGGAATTCCAAATCCATGTCTTCTAAGTCTCTAATTCCTCCCATTATTCCCATTATTCCCCGCGTGCTTGGGAATTTTCAGGTTCAATTTCACCAGGAAACAGGAGCCGTTTGGCCAATTCCAGATCTAAGCTTGTTCTAATTCTTCTACTTCTTATAAGTACTATCATTATCTTATGTGCTTATGTGCGTCCCAAATGGAGGGGTACCTTTTGGAGAATTCAATATTCATGTTTGTTCTAACTAGTCTAAGCGTTCACAACTCCAACTCTTCTACTTATTTTCAATCGGCCGGGAGTTTGTGCTAATTAATCTACTTCTCATGATTCTTCCAACATTTATTTCCAACGGGGCGGGTGCCTTCTGAACATCCAGGCTCACTGTCTAATTACAATAATTCTTCAATTTAATCTAGCGTAATTCTTCGATTTAAACTATTGTCATTATCTTATTTGCTTTCCAAATGGAGGGGTACCTTTGGGGAATTCAATATTAATGTTTGTTCTAACTAGTCTAAGCATTCACAAGTCTAACTGTTCTACTTATTTTCAATGGGCCGGGAGCCTTGTGGGGAAGTCCAGATTCAGTTTGTGCTAATTATTCTACTTCTCATGATTGTTCTAACATTTATTTCCAAAGGGGGGTGGGGGGGCGCCTTCTGAACATCCAGGCTCACTGTCTATTTACAATATTTCTTCTATTTATATTAATCTAGCCTAATTCTTCGATTTAAACTATTATCATTGTCTTATTTGCTTCCCAAATAAAGGGGTACCCCTTGCGGAATTCAATGTTCATGTTTGTCCTAACTAGTCTAAGCATTCACATTTTTAGCTGTTCTACTTATTTTCAATGGGCCGGGAGCCTTGTGGGGAAGTCCAGACTCAGTTTGTGCTAATTATTCTACTTCTCATGATTATCCTAACATTTGTTTATGTTTAAAGGGGCGGGTGCCTTCTGGGGAAATCCTGACTTACTGTCTAATTACAATACGTGTTTTATCTTCGATTTATTAAATGAGTTTTCCTGGTACAGGGACGCGTGCCTTTTTTGGGAAAATCCAAATTCATTGTTGCTAGTTGATCTACTTAGTCTAAGAGTTTGGATAAGTAGTATAATTAAATCATTGTTCCCTATTACTCGTCTTTCTGCAAGAGACAGGTAGGTGCCTTTTGGGGAATTCCAGATGCATCTGTTTTAACTCGTCCAATGATTCCTCTGTCCTAATTGTTCCACTTCTTCAAGCTTGAATCAGTTAAACAATCGCCTTGTGGCTCTCATTATTCCAAACATTTCACTTATTTTTCCCACAGGGGTGGGTGCCTTTGGGGGAAGTACGCGTAGATCGTGTGTATCTGTTCTAGTTATTAAAATGAGTCTACC